CACTCCCTCGATACAACGTCTTCTCTGTTTTCCTTCGGAACGCACGTGAGTACGAAAGACGATCGAAGAACTCTCAAGCGCAAAAGCGGCACTTAATCTGTGATAATACTGGGTATGTTCGTTGTGTGATATACCTGTACGATCGGTGATACAAGTTGATGATCCTTGGGCACATTTTCCGCATTGATCGAATTCGTTCCGAATATGTTTCGAACGCGATGATCGGGGATTGAGTTTTCCCAACAATAGCAATACTTACTTTTTTATAATGTGATCTTTTATGTGGTAGAAATACTTGCTAATTGTTATATCTCTTGAAGATTACTAATGGATTCCAACCACTATTAAGGCTGTTAGCTTGGAGAGTAAACCTAGGTTTGGTTATAAGTCAAATCACTGTAAATCGTTGTATGTTATCATCTATATGTTCATTATTATTTGAATCTATTAGATAAAACTATTTACATGTTTGGTACTTTCAATATGTTTATGCAACTATCAAAATGTAACTTGTTAGATTCCTCAAGCTCGTTAAAGTTTTCAAACAACCTAATCTTTCTTTTCTTTTTCTTTTTTTTTGGCTAAATTTCAAACAACCTATTCACTCCTCCCTCTAGGTTGTACTATTTACCCTAATAGATAATTTATATTCCTAGGCTATGCATAAGGTGAGCCAGCTTGTTTGTTGTGGTGCCTAAAATTAACTTCACCCGTTATCAGCAAAGAAGTTACATTTAATGAGTCTCCAATATTTCTAGATAGAGGTGATTGTGGTGGTGTTTATATGAATTTGGACGGTGTTCAGCTGAAGGTAAAACTGTAACCAAAAACTCCTAAGGTTCCAGCGCGATAATCAACACAGATCATGCTTGTAGAGAGGTGGAGCCTATAAAATCAACGGTTGCTGAGTTTGACAAGGTGCGTCTTCGATCTCCTAACATGTGAATGCAACGATTGTTTCACTCTGTTTGTGGTAGAGGAGGTAGCATCAGCGAATCTTTACGGAGCGATTAAAGGTGCAAGTGGAGTTGTGTTATGATGAGATCCACGGTCATGGCGAAGTTCAAGCGGCTTGGACTTGGAAGATATCTGTGACAGTTGAAGAGCCCAAAGGGGTTATAAAAGAGTAGCAGCGAAGTTCAAAATCTAGCGAAGTGATTATGACTTAACTCAAACATTGAGCCAAAGATAGAAATTGTTGAAAATATGTCTCGAGTTTAAGCCCGAAAATGAAATTTTTCAAATTTAAGTAAGTTTCCTATTAGAGCGGTTACCTAGTTTGAGTACATTTCCTATTTTGGATCTAAATATTTTTTAGATAAGAAGTGTGGCTTCTTTGTGAAGAGTATCCAGGAGGCTGTTTATTCGTAAATTATTTACGTTGAAGGGATTTGAGAGTGTTGAAGTCAATCAATCTTGTGTTAAGATTTTTTATAATTCTTTTGTGATATTAAAATATTAATTCGAGAGGAATTATGAGGGCTAAATAATGCGTGACGAATTAGGTGTAATGGGGACTAGAAAATACTGAGACTATTTAAATGACTTGAGTGTGAATGTTATCTCTGTTGTATCATTTGATATATAGTGAAATTCTGTGATGTTCTTCCCGTAGAGGTAGATCTCATCGACCAAACTACGTCAATTTGGTGTTCCATTTATTTCTTAATTCTGTTTATTTTATGATTCAATCGCTTGTTTCTACAACAACCATTCGGTCATGGAAAGGTCCAATATAGGGTAATGTTACAATAAAAGGTTTACCATTTATTGCTCATAATTATAGCCATTACCACTTTAAGGTCAAAGAAAGCTACTCAAGAAATGAGACTTGACACATATGCTTCATATGAGACAAAACACATTATAAGGCAGACAGATTAGTGTACTTCATTTCAATTAAATACCCTAATGATCGAATTCAGGTGTTTTATCTCAAAGCACTTATTTAAATGTAACATCGTATCTAAAATTTCGTTAATGAACATATGTTATATTGAAAGCGCGCAACAAAAGCCCAATATCTTCATCCGGGAAGATCGCCAAGAGAGAGCCCAAATTCGAACTCGTCAATATATGCAGTTGGATCTATCTTCACTCAAAAGCTTAAGACAATGATTTATAAGCCAACTTGGATATATTAATTGCTCCACACCAAATCAATTCTCAGATGTGAGATTTCTCCAACACAACTCACATATGTATCTCAACAATCTTCACCTCACGTGTGAGCTCAGTGTTAGGTCTCGTCCTCTTTAATCAAACTATCCTTCTGCACCAAGATATCTCAACTTGAACTCTATCAACACCCAACTTCATCACCGATCTCTTTTTCTACACCAAACTATGAAGTCTGCCATCGGGCTTGCAATTTCATCACTGGTCTCTTTCTCCAAACCAAACTATGAAGTATGCCATCAAGCCCTCGTCGTTATGCCGCAATTCCCACCGCCCAGAAACTATGTTGGTCACCAGATTCTTTTTTTGAAATATTCACTAAACACCGGAACAGATTAGGGGCCCACTGATATACTACCAGCACTAATACCGTCTGTTGGGAGCATGTAACAAAAGCTTGATACCTTCACCAAGGGAAATGACCAAGGGAAAGCCTATGTCCGAGCCCATCAACTATTTAGTTGGACCCACCCTCATTCAAAAGCTTAAGCTAATGATTTATGGGCCAACTTAGATATATTAATTGCTATACACCACACCAATTCTCTAATGTGAGACTTATCTAATACAACTTATACGTGTATCTCAACGATCTCCCCCTCACGTGTGAACTCGATGTTAGATATACTACCCCTTAATCAAAGTATCATTCTGCATCAAGATATCTTAACTTGAATTTCCATCAACGTTCAACTTCATCACTGGTCTTTTTCTCCAAACCGAACTATGAAGTCTGCCATTAGGCCCACAACTTCATCACTGGTCTCTTTCTCTAAACTGAACTATGAAGTTTGCCATCGGGCTTGCATAGTTACACCACAACGCCCACCACTCGTTCTATGAAGTCTATCATCGGGCCTACGTTGTCACACCACAACTTCCACTGCCTGGAAACCACGTTGATCACTAAATTCCTTCTTTGAGATATTCGCCAAGCACCAAAACAGATTAGGGGCCCATCAATCTACCACCGACTCCAATATCATTTATTGGGAACATGTAGTATAAGCCCAATACCTTCATTCAAGGAGATTGCCAAGAGAAATCCCAAATCTAAGCCCGTCAACTTATCCAATAGAATCCACCTTCACTTAAAAGCTTTTAACTGCTTCACACTATACAAATTCTCCCATCTGAGACTTCTCTAACTTAACTCACACGTTTATCTTAACATGTTCCACTATTTGTGGAAACCCAACTAAAGTTGGATGGTTCAACTTTAGAGGATCCACTGGGGGCATTGTTCATGATAATCTTGATATTGGTTAAAGTTTGTTTTACGTATTAGTTAGGAGATAATTTAGGCAATTTGTACAACAGACTAATCTCGCCTCATCTATCCGATCTAAGACCTGTCATCCAAATTCAGATCAAGAGATTTGAAATAACTATTTTCATAGTCGTCGCCTAAAATAAAAATATAAAATTCGAATTTGAAACATCAGATTTGGTGAGGCATGTTAAACTCTAAAGAATGGACGAGAAATTTGGTATATGGAACATGGTTTTGATTTGGTAATGTCTTTGAACATCTGGCACTTGAAAGTTGAACTTGCTGCGAAACTTGTTTACAATTTATCATCTGTTCATGATTACATGAGTTTTGAATTTGGTCTACGTGTTCTATGTTATTGAAACTGGACAATTATACGAGGAAGGGAACTTGTGTTGGAAGGGATAATTGTCTTGAAAATCCTAAACCATTTGTCCAGCGGCCAATTCAGTCATAAGCCTTTCGTACCAATTTAGTCATAAATCTTTCAATTGTGTCGATTTAGTCATAAACCTTTTGAATATATATCAATTTGGTAATCAACCTATTATTTGGATGTTTAGCTGGAAGGACTATATTGACAAATCATCAAAAGGTTTAAGACTAAATTGACACAATTGAAAGGGAAGTTTAGGATTAAATTGGCAAATCGTCAAAAGGTTTAGGACTCAATTGGCACAATTGAAAGATTTAGGACTGAATTGACCTCCATACAATAAGTTAAGAATTTTTCGGACAATTTTTCATGTGTCGGAATGCGATGGTTGTGGGAAGCAGGACAGAGGGTTCGATTGATGCTTTTGAAAATCCTCCAACCGATGTTGTGGTTTGTGTTATTTTGGATTGTTCTTATTGGGTTAGAATTTATGCTAGATCCGTTTTAGGATTTCGGTTTTATCATTCACTAATTTCCCAGGATTTATCTTAAGATATGCAGCCCGTATAACCATATATTACACAACCCACGTTCATCACCATTGACAAAGAACTCAGTCGCTCTTTTGAATTAAAACTGCCCATATCAGTGGCGATGAAAACGGATTGTGTTACAAGTAGGTTATCTAGGTCGTGTATCGGTATAAGAATCCATTTCCTATTTGTTCATGTTTTAAGCAGTTTTAGGTTGAATTTTTCATTGACTTCGTGTTGCGGCATGATTGTGAGCTCCCAGCTCCCGTTGCGAGCGCGACTAAAAACACTCGTAATTTCATACTCTAAGTCCTAATAGATCTATGTAATTCCACCTCAATCGTACTATTTTGGGGGAGGGGTCATAGATCTTGATGTCTTCCATAAAATTGAGATCATAATTCATGCAACTTATGATGTTAGGAAAATAGGAATCAATATATACATCTCTTCCAAAATTGTAGGGGTCAACCCAATTTTCATTTTTGGCCCTCTTGTTTTAAAACATGCATAGTTTGCCATTGCCACAACTTTACAACCAATTTTATGTCCCTTATTCTATAGGAAGTCTCGCGCATGACAAGTCTTTATTTATTTGTTTATTTATCCATTTATTATCATAACAGAAAACAAATGAGGAGAAAAAAAATAACTAAAAATAATATATATATATGCATTCTTGAACGAGATCTCAACAAGCCCGACCCAGATACAAAGAATTTAGAGTAGACATCTCTCTCCATTCTCTTCTTAGCTAATAATTCCTCTTCTGCAATCTAAAAACAGTAATTACCAAAGGCAACGAATCGTACTACCCAGCAACAAGGTGCAGAATGGCTTGATTACATCGATAGATTACATGGGCGACGGAGCCGGAGAAGCGCCCATGACATCCAAGGACGAGCTAGGCGTCGGACCGGCTGCTGCACCGGAGCTCAACAGCTCGATCATTGCACGGTGGGGGTTGGTCCGTTGCACCTCGCACAGGTCCGGCAAAAACACTCCTGCAAAATCGTGTCGATGCAAGAAAACATTAGTCAAATATTCTTTTTTATTAACTTTGTGAACGGTGACTTCTTCACCAAGGAAAATCATAAAAAAGAATTGAATTTGGTCAAATATCACGATTGAATAATTCTTTTGGTCAAACAGAAGGATCGAATAAGGAATGTTTCAATTTTTCCGTGGCGAAAGCAAAAAGGACTAAGCACAAACTTTTTCTATAGCCTAATTTTGCGTAAGACATTGTTGTCATGCTTCTGACGTGGATGGTGAATCATGTGTCGATACCTTCGCCGGCGGCCAAATTGAAGTAGAGGTCGACAATGTTGGGGCATCTCCGGTAACACGACGGGGAGCAGAGCTTGGCGGTGAACTGCGGCTCAAGGAGCGCGTCCGAGGAGATGCCGACGGCATCCCTATCGACCCCGCAGGCGCGCACACACTCGTCGGTCTCGATGTACCCTGCCATCCTCTCCACCACGACCTCCGACGTCCGGCACTGGTACTCGACCCCGCCGTCCCGGTTCGCGTACGTCTCCAGCAGGCATCTCTTCCCCGAGGATGCGATCGAGAACGCGCACAGATCCTTCGGCAATTCCTCGCACACGATCTCGGCTGCAAGACCCGACGGAGAGAATTCCGATCACGACACGATCAACGCAAGCAATTCAAGAACATGGGAGGAAATAATCGAGGGTTTCGAAAAACCGACACATAAAACATTGGATATGTTGTTGTACCTAAAGTTGCATGGAGGAAGAGGGAAGAGATGAGAAGAACCAATGCCAATTTGCTCGAGGAAGCCATTGAAAGCCTTGCCAATCAAAGAAAATCTCGGGTCTCGTTTGGTGAATCGATAGAATCTACGAGGAGGGTTGGCCTTTTGTTTCCTTGAATGTAGCGTTTGTTGTCGCAAGATCTAAGGATGTACGAGGCAAACATGCCCATATATAGACGTACGTGCTTAGCTTTGTTTGATTTGCATTGGGTCACCTGTAAACCGAAACGCGTCTTTGAAGCTGAAAACGCTGACGTTTCATGGCGGTGGACGGGTTGGACAAGCCTTCCTTTCCTACCTCTAGCTTGTCGCTCGTACGTGATTACGTCGAATATAATTAGTAATCGGGTATTTTAATTTCCGCTTACCGAGTCAATTGTAAAAAATTAGGAAATTGGGTTTGTCACTCGGGTCGATGATGACTAGAAACATGAAAATTCTTGGGTAATTTCATTTGCTGACCGAGGATTGACCGTGCTTTACGGACGCCAAAGCAAGAATATTGGGGGAGTCTCCTAGTGGTGGAAGTTGGTTTTAATGTGGTTGAAGACCGAAATTGGCCCGTCAATGGTCGTCCAAGAACATATAATAAATTGGCAATTGATGTTACATAATTGCATCTAGCTTTCAGAGAAAGCATAGGATTTGGACTCATCTGCTGATTGTCGGATCCACATGGCCAGTGAGAATACCGATTCATCTCCGTGTATCGATGGGAGTCGTCTCGTCCACATGCACCGAGTAAGACTTTTCCTGTGTAGTGACGATGCGCTTCTTGCGATTTGGATGCGGAATTTGCAATTTTAAAATTACACTCAACATAGTTTGGCACTTTGTAATTGATCAAGTTTTCGTCGTCATATTAATGGGTTAGTCCATGTTGTGGGACAAAACAAACGTGCCATCGCATTCACGGTTCAAGCACAGTTAAGGAAGGTACCGTCGTAGGAGCGTGTCAAAGGAGTTGCCTCGTCAACATTGACCGCCCAAAAAAAAAAAACAAGAAAAAATTTAGAGAAAGACATGATATCTTTGCAGTAAGGTCGAGTTATGAGCTGGTTCGGCGGTCTTACATAATGAGAACCCAAACTACACGAACATTCGCTATCAAATTGACCGTGTTGGAAAAGTTGCCAAGTCTTCCTATTGTGAAACGTGGAAATCCAAGGCGGTAGGCGGGCAGTTGAAGAAGCCAGAAGGTTCCCATTCATACGTGTCGTCCTGGAATTGCGTAGTATTCCTTTTTTTAGGACGCGTAACAAACATCCGACACCTTGGTCACCGTATGGATGCGCGCTTGCTCACAAGTTCTAGAAAACTTAAGTAATAAGCTATGACCTAATTAAGTAATATAAACCCATTCCGCATTATATCAAATGTTTTTTGATGTGTGTGAGCTCCAAAGTTAGGGATACTCTCTCCCTTAATCCATAGATCCTTCTGTATTAACATATCCTGACTTGAATCTCCACGCATTGTTGCAATGCACCCGCAAATTATGCACATCAACCCTACCATCAACTGCCAACACGTTGCTGTAGCCCAACGTATACTTCCACCCAGGGTCACTATCTCACATCGTCAAATAGACCATCCATAGTCTCTTCTCGTTAGATCAACCGTAATGGCAATTTCCATCGAAAACTAAATTGATTTGTGGCCTATCAATCGACCATCGTCTCCGATACTAATTGTTGTGAAAACAAGAGAGGGAGAGGAAAAGAACAACACCATATTTTACTATAGATCAAGTGATACAACGAGATTATAATCATATTTGAGTCTCTTTTGCAATCTCAGATTACACCCAATAATCTAATAATACTTAGCCCTACACAATTTCTCATGAAAGAAAATCACTCGATCTCAAAAAAGAAGCGCTAAATCTTACCACAAAATTTGAGCGATCGTACGCACTGCGATTATTTCCAAGATGCAAATTCACAATGAAGCCACCTCTTTAATCTCAAGCCTCCAACTTTAATGCGCACAAAGGCAAATCTACGGCGGCTACTACTAGAGCCCAGAAATACATCATGCCTAAGAAGGCTAACAACTGTAGGTGGGGTATCAAACTAAAACGTGCTCAATGATTGCTTCTTTTTTTCAGAAGAAAATATCATTCACTTATAAGAATTTAGCGAATACAAGTCCTTAACTTCATAGCAAAGGAAATAAAAACAGCAGGAGGGAAATACAAGATCCAATTGCTACACAACCTTCCAAAGTGCTAGGCTTTAGCAACTAAATTCGTTTTCCTACTGCAATGGGCCAAGGAATGGCCAGCAAAACCTCTCAATAAGTCAAGGGCCCAGGTGGTAAGTGTTGATCGAGTGCTTGTATGAGAGACGTGCATAACGATAGGTTCAACGACAAAGCAATTGGTAGCGGGTGTTTCTCTTTCTAATATGGCAATCAATTTATGTGCTTTGCATCAAGTTCAAACCCTAATGCCTTTTGGAATATGGGTCAATGAGAGAATTACCAATATAGTTTTCTGATTTGTTTGGTTGTGTGGTGTGTCGAGCCGAAGTATATGGGCTGGCTTAGGATCGGTCGACTCAATATCAACTTCCCTGAAAAGATATGTCTTGCTTACGCATGTGTTCAACTTCTCCTCGCCCGAGGTCAACCTCGCCGGCCCTCACCTCTGGCCGGTTGACAACAACTGGTGACCGGCTAGAGGAGGAAGAAGGGGAGGAGAAAGAAACAAGAAAAAGAAAAAAAAGGAAAAAGAATAGAAAAGAAAAATAAAAAATCTAAAATATTAAAATATTATTAAAAATTATTCACGTTAACGCCGCGTAGGCCGGCCTGCGTCCACGGCAGTACTTTCTGGCCAAAATTGGCTGGATGAACTGAATTGGCAAGAAGTGAAAAGGCTTAGGACTGAATTGACAAAAATACAATAGGTGAAGGATTTTTCGGATAATTTTCCCCAAATACATTCTTGGGAGCAACTGTCTGTCGGGTTTTGGGCTTGGCCCAAGCCCAATCCGTTTGCATTTGCGTGGCCCTTGGAGGGAAGAATAAAAAACTTCTCTTAGTAAAAAGGCTCCGTTCGTTTGGCGGAAAATATTCTCCCGGAAAATATTTTTCAGATTTTCCGGTGTTCGGGGGGCGGAAAACGTTTTCCGTGGGAAAACATTTTCCTTCCCCCCTCACAAAATAGCCTAAGTCTACGGAAAATGACTTCCGCTTCTTCAAAAGCGGAAATCATTTTCCCGAGCTTCTTCTTCTTCTTCACTAAGCGCCGCCGGCCGCCGCCGGCCGCCCCGCCTGCTCTGCCGCCGCCGCCGCCTGCCGGCAGGCCGCTGGCCGCCGGCAGCTGCAGCCATGGCCGCTTTGGCCTTAGCCGCCGCCTCGCTGCGGGCCGCCGCTTGGTCGCTGGGCCCGCTGCCGCCGGGCCGCGGCTGGGTCGCCGCTCGGCCGTTGAGCCGCCCGGCCAGCGGCCGGCTGCCGGCCGCCGCCGCTGCTGCTAGCCGCTGGCCGCCGCCGTCGGACGCCGGACGTTGACCGTCGGTCGCCGGAGAAAAATATTTTCCGAAACTTTTTCATATTGATCGCCGAACACCGGAAAATTATGTTCCGGGAAAACATTTTCCAGGAAAATGACTTCCGGGAAAATATTTTTCAAAAGAAGAATATTTTCCGCCAAACGAACGGAGCCTTAAAAAGAAAAAAAAACTTAACCACGCATGGTGCAAAAAAACTAGAGACATCTTTTACACAGGAAAAATTAGAGACATGAAAGCGCTCGTAATAAGAGGAAAAAGATTTCTCCATTTTAATAAGAGAAAAACGTTTTCATTAGCTAAATTCCACATTGCTTCAGGGCATAGGACATAAAAAAAAACCTTTAATTAAGTTTAGAGCATCAATAAAGCTCTTTCTTTCTCTCTCATTTATTATCATATAATACTTTCGATCAGTGAATTTCCCCTATAAAATTTTATTTCATGGCATTGAAATGGAAAGCACAAAAGGCATTTATTCATATGTCAAAGTAGATTGTGCTTACCATTTCACTTCTTCCCAGCTCTAATTTTGGAACCAGAGAAAAAGAATCAAGAAATTGAACACTTTCATGTATGTATGCGTTTATAGACTTTATTGCTCCTTTTTCGATATTTTCTTTTTAAAAGATTTTATTTGAAATTCATCAATCTCTAATCACTCATTTGAGGTTCTTAGTACCAAGAATTGCGAACCAATAGCTTCATATTTCATTTAACAGTCTATAATTTCCTTTATATAGTTTAATAGCACTGCATAATCTATTCTTAAGGAAAATATTTTAAGAAGTGAAAAATACATCAAAAAACTACTTCCTTCTCATTTTCAACTCACAACCAAATAAGGGAAAATCAATCACTTTTCTTGAAAATGAATTTTGGGTAGATCATTTCCTTAAACATAAAATTTTTTCATGAAACAAACACACTCTCGAAGAGAAGAAAAATCATACATTGCTCGTCTGACTTGGTGCTGAGACAAAGACCAGAGATTCTCGAACAATTGCAAGCAAGTGCTCTTTGAGATCAAGGGGCATATTTGTTGCGAACATACATGGCATGTTCCGAAAATACTTTTATTTGGGAAAAAGTCATCAAAAAAAAACTTCAAAGTATGCCGACTATAACACATTTATCCTAAATTTTTTCTCGTGACATAAAAAACTCCAAACTTATACACGTGACACGTTTGCCCTCTATCAATGTTCCGCTGGTTGATTTTTTAGCCAAAACAACGCCGTTTTTATTTCATAACACCGTTATATGCATATTTTTAACGGTGTTTAATAGAGTATTTAAATATTAAACCACGTCTTCATATAACAGTTTAAATTTTTAAAACAGTTAGCAGTGGTTCCACAAAATCTCATATGATATCAGAGCTAGAGGTGCTGAATTCAAATCTTTCGGAGCTCCCATTTATCTCCCTAATTAAATACGTCAACTAAGCATGAGGGAGAATGATAGAGTATTTAAATATTAAACACGCCTTCATAAGTTTGGGATTTTTCATGTTACGGAAAAAAAAAAGTTTAGGGTAAATGTATCGCATTGAATATAGTTTAGGTTTTTTGTGGCTTTTTTCCCCCTTTTATGTTTTTACGATTTCCATGTATTTCCCCGGCAAGGTCTCTGAAATTTTCTTCATGGAGTAGAGTTGAACTCTTTGTAGTGAACTCTAAAGATACAGAGAGTCGAGTTTCGCAGTGGGCAACCACGATCACAGAAAACGCAACGCAAGCCAATGCGAAGGATAAGTGGGCCCCGAGATTTAACACAAAGTCCTTTGCTGGCCTCACATTCCCCTCCTTCAATGCTCCACTCAATCTCACCAATTTCACTTCGTTCCATCGTCGGAGCCAAGAGCAAAAAAAATATCAGCAAGAAGTAGAAGCACAAGAAGAAGAAGAAGAAGAAGAAGAAAGCGAGAAGAACACGTTGCAGAGGGAGACCCCGAACAGAGAAAGACTCGTAGAAGAAGCCTGAAGCCATGGCAGCGGCAGCCACGTCGGCAGCGGCACCTCGCCGCCTCCTCCTCCTCTCGAACCCGTCCTGCTCCTTCTCCAGCGTCTCCTCCTTCAAGACATGCGCGCTCGACTCCAGGGCGCTCGTCTCGTTGAAGAAGAGGCATGCCGGAGACGCCGCCACGGGAAGAGTGAGGTGCATGGCGGTGGCGACCGAGGCGGTGGAGACAGCGAAGAAGAAGAAGAGCGGGTACAACATCCTGACGCTCACCACGTGGCTGCTGCAGCAGGAGAAGGACGGGGTGATCGACGCCGAGCTGACCATCGTGCTGTCGAGCATCTCGATGGCGTGCAAGCAGATTGCGTCGCTGGTCCAGCGGGCCGGCATTTCGAACCTGACGGGGGTTCAGGGGGCCGTCAACGTCCAGGGCGAGGACCAGAAGAAGCTCGACGTCGTCTCTAATGAGGTACGTCACCGCCCTCTCTCGGGCTCGGTCTCTGCCTTAGCATTCAAAACATTGACAGCAATGCTGATTTATATTTCATGTGCGTGCGTTCGATTTAAGGAGATGACAACGACTCGTTTGCCTAATCCATTCGTACTTGTCAGGCTCTTTAACCGCTAAACTTAGCAGTACTTGAAGTTGAAGAGGGTTAGATAGATTGATGCTTAGGGCTTGACTCTGAATTTGGTCAAAGATTACTAGCATGACTCGCAAACCTGGCTATACTGATGGTGATAATGATCTCTTTGATGGAGTCCAAGCAATAATATTGCTCTGTGTCTACGTCTACGTTTGTTCATTTATTTGGAGATTTTGCACAGGTGTTCTCAAACTGCCTGAGATCAAGCGGGAGGACTGGGATAATAGCGTCGGAGGAGGAGGACGTGCCGGTGGCCGTGGAGGAGAGCTACTCCGGCAACTACATTGTGGTGTTCGACCCGCTCGATGGATCATCCAACATCGATGCCGCCGTTTCCACCGGCTCCATCTTCGGGATCTACAGCCCCAACGACGAGTGCCTACCCCACATCAGCGACGATGAGAACGTAAGCCTCCCCTTTCCCCTCAACCGGAATAAATTGCCTACGACACTCATCAATAAAAGCCAATCTCTCTTATTGACTAATTGATTAGTCCTGTGCTGGGGTAGAAATACTGTTAGATACACTGAAAGAACGATTACTTCTTCCCAAATCCATCCTCATTGTAACATCCATGAGACCCCGAGCGGCAGTCGATCCGAGGCGTGAATGCTAGATGCCACCCTTTACTGTTTTGTCATTTTGACATTGAGGGCTTGCTTTGATTTGAAGTAGTTTCCGGCGAGGTATTGAAAAACCTTTCTATTCGAGGGACCAAGCCGATGAGAAGGCTTCCTTCTCGCCTTCTTTCTCTCATATTTCCGATGGATTTCAACTGCAAATACAAGGAGATTGAAATATTCGACATGACTCGAAATAAAGCATAGCACACACCGAGCAAGGTCAAAAGGATTTTGCCCACGGGATCATCAGAAAGCAAATTAAGTCCACACTGTATTTTCTCATTCATGCCGTGATCACTTGAACAGCTCGACAAAGCAGAGCAGACGTGCGTGGTGAGCGTGTGCCAGCCGGGGAACAACCTACTGGCGGCGGGTTACTGCATGTACTCGAGCTCCATCATCTTCGTCCTCACCATCGGCAAAGGTGTCTATGCCTTCACCCTTGACCCGATGTTCGGCGAGTTCGTGCTCACCCAGGAGAACATCCAGATCCCGAAGGCCGGCAAGATCTACGCCTTCAATGAGGGAAACTACCAGCTGTGGGATGACAAGCTGAAGAAGTACATCGACGATCTCAAGGACCCCGGCCCGACCGGCAAGCCGTACTCGGCCCGGTACATCGGGAGCCTCGTGGGGGACTTCCACAGGACACTGTTGTACGGGGGCATTTATGGGTACCCGAGGGACAAGAAGAGCAAGAACGGGAAGCTGAGGCTGTTGTACGAGTGCGCTCCGATGAGCTTCATCGTGGAGCAAGCCGGAGGGAAGGGATCGGACGGTCACCAGCGGGTCCTAGATATTCAACCCGTCGAGGTTAGTGACTTGACATGCTATCTGCAGAGTGTTTTTGGAGTAGATTTCAGAAGATGAATAACAGGCTCTGCTTTGTGTGGGCTTTGTGACAGATTCATCAGCGAGTGCCGTTGTACATTGGTAGCGTGGAGGAAGTTGAGAAACTGGAAAAGTACCTTGCTTAGCAAATTGAACTACCTGAAGAACAGGGTAATTTTTGTTGTAAAATGAAATTTCCATATAGTGAATCCTCACTTTAAAAGTGTAGAAAGAATTCAAATCGAGGTCACATGATTCCGCGCATCCTCTCTCCGTAAACATGTCGTTATCTCTCTTTCAAGACTACATCTGCAAAAAGTTTGTCTACAATTCAGAGAATCATGATAATTCATGATTGAGAAACTTAAGAAATGGCATAACTTTTCAAAAAGTAAACCGGGGTGGGCTGTTGCTTGTAACTAGAGGTGAGCATTATCCGGGTGGACGGCTCCCATCCTAGAACCGGGAACCGGCCACTCACTAAGGACCAGTTCGGAAAAATTGAAATCAAAAACCACCCATTGATTTCATGGATCCACTCGGGCCGGTCCGGTTCCTAGGTGGGTCTGTGGAACCAGTCCTACCAAGCTTCACACTTCGGCATTGTAATAAGCAACAAAGAATTACAGAAAAATACAACTTCGCCTGTTGTTCAAGTTAGGAACTTCCTAACAAGCCAAAGCCAAGGACCGCAAACCTTCACCTGCTGTTGAAGTTAAGACTTTGCAATAGCTACATTTAGGAGTGTCTTAGCTTTCCACTCCTTTTTCATGTGAAGAAGCCATATAGCACTGCACCGTTGTGGCAGGTTCATGTCAATGTGATGTTCGAAGGAACATTAAGGCTCCGTTCGTTTGGCGGAAAATATTCTCCTTTTGGAAAATATTTTCCCGGAAGTCATTTTCCTGGAAAATGTTTTCCCGGAACATAATTTTCCGGTGTTCGGCGACCAATATGAAAAAGTTTCGGAAAATATTTTTCGCCGGCGGCGGCAAAGACGGCGACGGCGACCGGCGACCGGCAGCGGCCGGGTGCAGCGGCCGGCGACCGCGGTGGCGGCCGCGGCCGGCGGCGGCCGCCGACCGGTGGAGGCGGCCGGCGACCGCCGGCCGCGGCAGGCGACCTTAGTGAAGAAGAAGAAGAAGCTCCGGAAAATGATTTCCGCTTTTGAAGAAGCGGAAGTCATTTTCCATAGACTTAGGTTATTTTGTAAGGGGGGGAAGGAAAATATTTTCCCACGGAAAACCCGAAAAATATTTTCCGAGAGAATATTTTCCGCCAAACGAACGGAGCCTAAGAGCCTTGAGTTGTTCTTTGCATTAGGACGTACTCATGGATAACCCTGGGTTATTAACCCATTTCTATTAATTTTGTTTTCTTCATGCAAGTAACTTTTGGCACTTCCTAATAGGAAGTGTGTAAGCAAGAGAGCACACTCACCAAATAAATATATATGTTATTGGTCCGGTCCGGGTGGGTGGTTCCACACCTAGAATCGGGAACCGGACCGGTACTCGCCAGTTTCAATAAATTAGAATCGGGAACCCGACCAGTTCCCTTAGGAAACGCCGGTTCTAGGTCGGTCCGGTCCTGTTCCGAGCAATTCCCGGTTTCTTTGCACACCCCTACTTATAACTAATGGACCTAGAGTACAAGACACCAGACCTCGAGGCCGGACTTGGGACTCGAGGGCGCGACTAAGGGCCTTCGAGGAACTAATCGAGGTCCCCATGTGTAGCACTCAAAACTTGGCATCTAGTACCAAGAATCATGCTTTAGGAACCTAGTGTCCCGGATCTGAGTGCCTATGTCCCCCGTCCATTCGCCAAGTCCTACTTGTTCCATCAGCAAATCAAAGCAAATATCAATGGTCAATTCCATTGATCAATCTAGTGCTCAATATCCAATTAAGATCACACACAAAACCTTATGACAAGGGCTAACAAGATACCCTCCCTTGGCTAGGTCTCTACATATACCCAATCAGTGACTCGGCTCAAAAGAACATTTGAAAAATAGTATGCATACTATTAAACCCTCAATGGGTTCTGAACATAGCAATAATGAACATCAAACCACTAATATCATCCTTCAATAATCCTCAAAGCCAATCTAAAATCGATCTCACTAATCAATTTCACAAACCAAAACACGACCTCTCACAAATCAATTTATTAAGCTGAAAACATTTCTTAATCCAGTTTCATAAACCAGTACTTACAAGCTTTCAAAAATCCTTTCATAAAGCATTTTTCAAATCATTCACAAACAATAAGCTCAAACTATTTCAAAAGATACTTTGTCATTTTAAATGACCAAAAGGGTAGTAAAACGTCCGATTTGGCTTTGTGCAACAAATATGCTCTAAACATCGCTTTTTTGTTTTAACAAAACATACCATGCAATGCCTTACATAACTTATAATTTATATAATCCCTATCACTTTCAAAAGATGAGTTTACAAATTCATAGAATAGGATAAACACAACTCACTTGGGGTTGCAAAGTCAAACAACAAAAGCTATTGAGCCGTCGAACTCGAAATCCTATCAATAAGTGAGAAACGGATATCAAAGATCAAGTAACTACCTTAATTAAGATTGACTAAACTAAACTCATTCAGGAACCAAATGACTCCTACGAGCCAACAAAAACTCGCCCATAGCAAGAACATTTATTGTTGTCCGCTAAAATGGGCAGCTCAAGCACCAAATTTGGTTGCGCCATATTTCTCTCTAGCATACTTCAATTCAAGCGAGCTCACTATCAAAATAAAGCTCTTCCAAATATTAAAAGATCCTAAACTTCACTGACTCCAAAGATGGTTGGAGACAAGCGAAAAGCATCGCCGAAAACAGTAACCCGTAACCAGTTTCAGCAGCGCGCGAAACTTAAAAGATTCACCATGACCTAATCATTGCTCCAGATTTGACCAAAAAACAATCATTACTCCATATCGATTTCTGTAATATTCCACGGCTCAACGGCACCCAAAAGTTTCTTCACAATATAATATAATAGCTTACTAAACTCTAGAATGAACCAAGCAAATTAAAATCTACATTGATCCGAATTTCCAGCTCTATTACGATAATTCTTCGATTAGACAAATAAGTAGTGCAAATCCTTACTCGGTGCCACGAAATGGAGTTAATCCGACTCGTCGAGTCATTCGAAGTGCGCAAAGCATATCCCCCATCTCTCTTTCTCTCTCCTTTCTTGCTTGCGATTCTCTATCCGCTCTTATTTTTCCGTTTTCTGTTTTGCCGACTGGTCCCTTTCCTTTTCTTCTTTTGATTCTTCTAGCTGCATATATAATGAAGATGGGCTTAAAAGAGGTTGGGCTAAAGGCATGGCTTGAAATAAAACATGAGCCCAAACATCAAAAGACCGTCCATCGATGGTCGACCAAGACAATGTCGCAATCGATCATGTCCGACATAGTGATGTTGGCCATGATGCTCCAGCAAAATCGAGCTCTTTGACAGCGAGTAACACTAAAGTGGCTAGAGTGCCCAAAGAGGACATGAAATCCGAAGCCGAAAATGCTGTTTACGCATTTTTCACTGTATATGTGCACAAGATTGGTTTTAGTGTTCGAAAGCAATATGGGTAACAAGCAAAGCAAGAGAACATAAAAAGGTGAACATTTGTCGTTTGGGATTTGATTATGGCCAAGCCAAGCTCAACGAAGCTCGAGCAGCCATGGCTGCGAGCTTGACAAGCTCCGCACCTGATAAAGGATTTTGAGATGTTATAGACTCCTTCACTTAATTAACAATGTCTTCATTACTGTTGATTCATATCATCCGACGATATTTCCCTATTTTATTTGCGTCCGATCCATTCATGCCCATTCCACCATTTCTAAAGTCTCTTAGGAACTAAACCCAATCCAAGCCTTTTCACCCCAAATGATCAACCCCGCCTTAATTGGACCAGGTACAGGTGTTCCATCTACAAATCACACATCTACTGGGTAATCCCATGATTTGATATCATCCGTAAAGGTTCGACTTGTTTTACATGGGCTGCTCCTTTTGGGTGACTCGACCTGTACCACATAGATCAAATCTTAAAATTCTAAATGTAAATATAATTTGATCTCGAAATCCCTTTTTCTAAGAAGTTACTTATTCTTTTTAGAGATAAGTTCACTGAAAGTCCTAGAGCTTATCACTAAAGTGCAATTGAATCCTAAACCTTTCAAAAAGTGTAATGAAGTCTTGAAACTTGTTACAAAAGTGCAATTAAGTCTTAAAATTTTCAAAAAATGCAATCAACGAAAGGACTTGATTGGATCAATTTGACAAGTTTTAAGACATTATTGCACTTTTTGAAAATTTTATGACTCGGTTGCACTTTCATAACAAGTTTGAAAACTAAATTATGTTTTTTGAAAGTTTATTTTAGGACTTAACTGTAGTTTAGTGATAAGTTCTAGAATTTTAAGTGAACTTATCCCTTCTTATTGTTGAGGTGATGTGCGACAAATTGTCCCTTCCCCGATTTAACTTGGGATCTAGTAGAAACCGCCACTTGACCGTTGCCGTCCTCTTAGTCAGACAAAAGCATCTTGCAAAGAATCAAAGAACGAATCACACCGACGTATCACAGTCACACAAGTGCTAACCCCGGATAAGTTAGAAAGGGCAAAGCCTCCAGAGAGAAAGGGAGAAGAGAGGGAGAAAGAATAGCTCATGCAGTTTCGACCTCCTCCTCGCACGTCCTCATCTCTCCTCACTTGATGTCCAATTCCATTCTCAAGCTGCGCCACCTGAAATCGCGGGATGCTCCTTCCACCGCCGCCGCAGCCTCACGCACACGATGCGAGGCCACACGGTCCACGGTGACGCTGCAGCTCGGAACTTCAACAACCACCCTAACGGCGAAGGCGAAGAAGAAGATCAGCTACGAGATCGAGAACCTGACAACGTGGCTGTTGAAGCAGGAGCAGGCAGGCCGCATTGACGCGGAGCTGACCATAGTGCTCTCGAGCATCTCCTTGGCCTGCAAGCAGATCGCGTCGCTGCTTCAGCGGTTGAGCATCATCAACCTCACCGGAGCTCAGGGCACCATCAACATCCAAGGGGAAGATCAGAAGAAGCTCGATGTCGTGTCCAATGAGGTTCGTATTACATGTAGGGTACAATTCGATGCTACATTTTGTCTGTGATGAGATCGAAGTTTGCTTAGCGTTCTGTCGATGATTCAAACACAAGGTATGAGTTCTCATGTCTCGCGAATTCATCGGAGACTCAATGTCAGATATGTTGGAACACCTTTCCGAAATCTGCTGATCAAGTGATCTGCCGAAAGTTTTATACCCTAGCATTTTTCAGTGAGATATTGCACTTTGCATATGCAAATCGAGCCTTGTATGTTAGCTGAGGCACTTTTTAAACAGACCTTAACTGAGATTTAATAGAATTTCAGGACCCTTTTAAAAGTAAGAACATGACAGATCAATTTTTCTGGTGAGTTCCTGCGGAAATTCGACTAATGTTGGCAATGTATATAGGTGTTCTGCAATTGCTTAAGGTCGAGTGGAAGGACGGGGATCATAGCATCGGAGGAGGAAGATGTACCTGTCGCCATAGAAGAGACCTACTCGGGAAGCTACGTCGTCGTCTTTGACCCTATTGACGAATCCGCCAATATCGACACTGCATTGACCACGGGATCCATCTTCGGCATTTACGGCCCGGACGAGCAATGCCTCTTGGCTGACGACGACGACTACTCAATGCCCACAGTAACTGTATTGTCCTGCCATTTTATTTTCGTTCTGTTACCAAAAGTCATACTTCTTCTCATATATAGTTTCTGTGTCCTAGTTAATGCACAGAACAGGCTATTCTTTCTTTCACATGAGGCTACAAGTATGCTTTTTCAATCCTAATGCGAAACCAAATAAGCTTATCCTCTATCCTGTCAGCGAGTTCCTGACATGTTGGAAGCTACTCAGATCTTTAGTCTGCTCTAGAGTATAACAGATGCCTGTCATATCGTAATTTGACCTCTTAATCCCGCCTGCCAAATTACTAAACACTGCTAATGGCACAGCTCGACCAAGCTAAAGAGAGGTGCATCACCAGCGTCTGCCAACCGGGCAGCAACTTGCTGGCAGCCGGTTATTGCCTCTACTCTAGCTCGGTAGTCTTCACGCTCTCAATAGGGAACGGGGTGTATGCTTTCACCTTAGATCCTGCATACGGTGAATTCGTGTTGACACATGAGGACATCAAGATACCAAAAACAGGTAAAATCTACTCGTTCAATGAGGGGAACTACAACCTGTGGGACGAGAAATTGAAGAGCTACCTCAACCATCTCAGGCAGCCAGGCTCCAATGGCAAGTCCTATTCTGGCCGTTACATTGGATGCCTCGTCGGAGAGATCCATCGGATGCTGCTGGTTGGTGGAATATATGGGAACCCCAAGAACAATAACGCTAAGAATGGGAATCTGAGGCTTCTGTACAAGTGTGCACCAATGAGCTATATGGTCGAACAAGCCGGAGGAAAAGCAACCGATGGCATCCAGAGAATACTCGACATCAAACCAGAAAAGGTAAGAATGTACCATGACAAACTCTTGCCACTGTAGACATTTGTTTTATCAGTTTCTTAGTCAGACTCACTACATTACTTTCAACCCAATAAGCTCTGTCATAAAGATGTAAGTAGGAGCTATGTTCTTTGACCCAACAGAGCCAATACTTTGTTTCATCATGAATCAATCAGCACAAAGCCATTTTGCAGAAAGCTCATATTCATTTCATTTGGTTTCTTTCCATTGGCAGATCCACCAGCAGACACCAATATTTGTCGGAAGCCCAGATGAAGTGGACAAACTACAGAAATACTTGGCTTGAGTCAGGTGCCTCCCTTGTGGAGTATTATTATACAGACTCAGTTTGTCGTTGATATGGTTGGCATAAGATGTTGCATCATAAAGCAAGGAAGTCCGGGAATTAGCGAGCAACCCCAAGTGCTTGAAGTGGCCTCAAGTGGGTTGAATTTCGTTAAAGGTGGCAAGTCTTAGAATTGTAAAAGCAAGGTGAGAGCTTTTTCCTACAAGAAAAGCAACACTTTTCCACTTCAACTACGTTTCTCATTCGAGCTAATTGGAAATGGCATACGCGCAGGACATCATTCTGCTGCTTATGTACATGTAGATGTAGATACTCGCGGCCATACAATCTTCAACCTCTGCCTTTTACGGCAAAAATGTTTTACAAGTGACCAGCAAAGACACCCAGAGACATAGCTAAAAACAATAGTCAGTCCTCTAGGGATAGCATCCAAAGTGTAAATTACATGTTCGTCTATCAAATGAGACTGATGGAATGCTGTAGAACAATCGCTCAGAAGTTCAGTTCATCAGAAATGAAGAAAATGACTATGCTTACTTTAGATCAAATAAACATTCAACAAATGGGAATGGAGTGGGCCGGCCAATTAGATTTAGATCATGTCGCAGTTAGTACTGTAATTGCACCACATCTGCTTATACTAAAGTTCTCCTTGAGGAAGTTGGTACTCGGCAGCACAATTATCCAGGTCCATCTAAGTCTTAACTCAAGAAGTTCAAAATTTAATATATACGCTCAAGTTGAATATCTAAAGACAGAATGCGAAACATGAGAAACTCAAATTTAATTCCTTTGTCGTCAAAGATTTTACTATTGCAATGTTTATTTAGACCTGAAACAAATTTACTCGTGTCTTCTCCTGCATGTTCATGAGAATGGCCGTCACAATTGCTGGAGATTCTGAAGATGATGAGCCCCCAAGTTATTACCCTTTGAATCATAAGAAGACGAGCAGACCACATGAAACACATGGATAAAAATTAACCTGTAGTTGGCTTGGCAAATTCAATATTGATAGTTTTACAAACAGTACAGTTGATTACAGGTTTTCCTACAAATTTCTGATCACTAGAAGAAAACTTAGGAGATCCTAGAGTGGAAAACTCAGTTAAACTATTGCATTCTTTGCTTTCTGTATTGGTTGTTTGTCACCATCTAACTTCATCCAAACTGCTGAATACAAGGTAGTGATAGACCAGTCCCTTCATGAAGTCGTAGAGAATGCATGACAAGTAAAAGAAGTTATTGACCAGGTAAAGCTTCAGCACAATGCTATAATATCAAGCACAAAAATACTCACATTGATAAGATTGACCACATAAGTTGATAAGCAGCTCCTGGAACAACTGATGACCAAACATATTATTAGGAGAACTTTATACGGAAATTCACATGAATGAAAAAATAAAAAATAGAAGAGTTAGTGAAATACAAAGGCCGCTATAACGACCACAATCATGAACATTTAGTATCATCCTTTGCTAGTGAGTTTTGTGCAGATCCAATAAATGACATCCAAGATGCATAAAAGCAGAAACTATAGCAACACTCCATCAAACGTCTTTGAATCCTTTTAGCCCAAAGCCAAATTAGTCAAAGTCTAGCCAAATAAAGCAACCTATTCTGTAGCCATTAGTCAATTTGAGAAAAACCAAAACCATTTCATCCAAGGAACGGCCAAACCCTGCACCTCTACAGAGAGAACTCACCTTGTGAACAGTTATTCTATGCTCTTTGCTCTAAACATGCGCATGCATGGTTACATTAGAAAGAGCATGATGCTTGAGAACAATTATAGAACCAGATAATCTATTACCTCAGTGTGGAAACTAGTTGGTATCAGAAGGCTATCAACTCTTCTGAGATTACTTGCCATTTCTTAACGAGTGCTTCAGCGGCGAGCCACCTCATTATCTGTAACAGCCCTTCAAGCCACTATCCAGTCGTCCTCAGACATTGTCCAGTTCAAAACCGAGTTGTGACCTCCTCTTGCCTCTTATATCCACAGGGATTCTATGCTTGAGTAACGAATATCCTCATGGATGACTCATTCCTCCATCTCATGCATTTCCAATCTCTCTTTTAACTTGTTCTTTTCTAATCAAAGCAAGTACTGAAGATACAGTGATAGAGAAAATTAACCGAACTATAGTACAGTGACCTCAATCAACAGTTACAAGGGTGTCACAGGTACCTTCAGAGGTCACCTACTGACCCGACATCAATGATGCAGGAGATTATCAGTCCTGTTTTCTCTTTACTACCAGGACTACCAATTGGTGTACCCCACCTCAGATATCTGAATGGAAGAAGTATTTCAGTCATTCTTGTTATGGTAAATAAGAGGCTCATGTTCTTAGCCCAGCACCCCGCCGCCACCCCTACTACCCTTTCATCCCTGCCACCATGCTCTGCCAAGTGGCCTAGAATAAGTATGCCAATGCATGTGCCTTCTGACTCATATATCTTGGGTGATATAGTTCCTACAAGAGTCACCAATGATCTCCACAAGAACATAACCCCTCCCTGAAGCGGTGGAAACGATTCACATCTCTGACAATTATAACCCTCTTTGTGACCTTTGCAATAAGTTTCACAGCAGAGTGGCAATCATCACACATCCTTAGATTCTTGATGACACGCAAGGGTGCTTCTGACGGTGCTTTCAAGAGACCGTATGCTATGGCCAATTTTTCACTGTGATAACTGAGATAGTCTTCCTTTTGTTCATCTTCCACATCATGCAACACACCACCAATATCCGGTACATAACCCAAATCTTTGATCTTGGCCAAAAGTTCCCCAACTTTCTCATATATCTTTAAATACTCAGGGTGTGAATTGTCATCTGAAACAAATACGTGTTGCGTCTTTAATTTCTATCCAGCTGACCCCCGGTTCTTTCTTGATACTCCTCTCTTTCATCAGCTTCCGAATGTTCACCACCCCATCCCACCTCTTTGCCTTGGCATACATATTAGAAGCAAGTATGTATGTCCCAACATCAGTAGCATCCATTCTGATGACAATTTCTGCAACACGCTGGCCTAAACCATATTGCCGATGGACATGGCAAGCATTGAGCAACGTGCGCCAGGCAACAGTATCCCACTGTACAGGTGTAGACTTCATAAAATTTTCAGCTTTGTCAAGCGAACCGGCCTTGGTCAGAAGCCTAATGATGCAGGTGTAGTGCTCTACTCCAGGTTCTATCCCATAATGTCTCATCAGATGGTTCAAATAAAAAAGTGCTTCCGGCTCAAGACCCAGGTGAGCGCAAGCAGATAAAACTCCCACAAAAGTTACGTAGCTAGGAAGCTCCCTTGCGGCCATCATTTCTCCAAAAACTGATAAAGCTTCCCTTCCAAGCCCATGTTGGGAGTATCCACATATCATTGAATTCCAAGTAGCAAAGTCTCGAAGCACCGTGTTTGAGAAAACTTCATATGAGGCTTCTATGTCGCCGCTCTTGGAATACATATTAATTAAAGCATTCCCAACGTTAGTGTGGTTTTTAAAACCTGACTTCTGCACCAACGCATGTAAAAGATACCCATGCCTTAGTGCAGATAAAGCTGCGCAGCAGTTTAACAAAACAACAAAGGTGTAATCATTTGCTGGAACGCATTCATTCTCCATTTCCGGCAAGAGATTAAGTGCTTCCTCAAAGAATCCATTTTGAAAGTAAGCGGTCATCACGGCAGTCCATGTCACAACGTTTCGAATCGGCAAACTACTAAAGACCTTGCTTGCGTTCATAACCTTGCCACATTTGCCGTACATGTCGATCAGTGTACTGCAAAAGAAGTCATCACAATCAACTCGACTCTTCAACATCCGGCAGTGAAGCGATAAACCCAGTTTCAAATCTTTGAGAGAAGCACAGAGCCCAAGAGCAGTACAGTAGGTAGCACCATCCCAGGCTGCACGATCGGCCACCATTCTAGCCAAAACGCCCAAAGCTTCCATTAAATTCCCATTTTCCATGAGTCCATTCAAAACCAAGTTATATGTGAAAATATCATAACCAGGTAAAGTGTCCAAAACCATAATTCCCGCCTTCACGTCCCAGCACCTCAAGTACATGTTAAGAAGTGCATTCTTCACATACTGATGAAACTCTAACCCAGACTTGACCACATACCCATGACATTGCTTGCCTTCATCGCCTCTTCTGTACTCTGAACAAGAAGACACAACTGTAGCGAGTATATACTCGTTTGGAGGGACACAGTCCAAGGACAGCATACACTTGAACAATTGTATAACTTCCGAAGGGGACCCACTGCGTAAGTATCCCGCCATCAGAGCCCCCCAAGAGACTTCATTTCTCTCGTGCATATCGTCAAACAGCTTGCGTGCACTCGACATCTGGCCACACTTAGAGTACAGATTGATCAGAGAGTTAGCCTCCACGATACTACTTCGGGAATTTTCGTTGGATGCGATCAGCTGCGCGTGAATCATTTTGCCGATTCTTAAGTTCTCCGAATCAGCGGACAACTTCAAGAGCCTCGTGGGGTATGCGGTGATCGAGTCTCTGCGACGCCCTTCGAACAGAAATGGCGCGTACTTGGTCGGCGTGTGGATGTTCCTCGAGGCTCTTGAAGTCATGGACGTGGCTTCGAACCTCACAGTCAGTAGATGGCGCAGTAGACTACCATTGAACATTTTGATGAAACGAAGACCAGACAACAGTCCGAGCAGAGCTGTAACAGCGAAACTGCGCCATGCACGAACCCCAAGTGCACGAAGAACTGAAAAGGAAGCGTCAGACGTAACAGGGTCGATCCGGCCAACGGACTGAAGCGAGTTTCGCCTTTACTAGGCTCGCGTCGTCAAGGGAACCTCTCGCTCCATACCATTCTTTGGGCAAGTGGAAACCTTTTCCGCTTCGGGAACTCCGGGCCGTGCGCGTCTATCACCTTACGGTTGCGGGCGATCCGTCACCGGCGGCGGAAGCTTCGATCGATGGGCTTCGAGTACGGCAAAGGCGCACCCTTTTCTGGTCTAGGACTACAGAGCCATCCCTCGCGTGAAGGTGGGGAGAGAGAGAGGTTCAGCTCTGCCGGAAAAGCCATGGGGGTTGATGCATGGAGCGAGGTCGTCAAGGATCAAGAACCGTTCTTTGGTCCCGCTGCGCACGAAAGACTTGTCGTCGAACCAACGAGGTTGCAGGCGTGCAAGAACCTCCGGAGGAAACCTATGTCGTTTCCGCTGTCCCGGCAGAATTACATGTTCTTGCAAGGCATTGTAGGATGGCTAGAAGCATATGGTTTGCTCTTCGTTCACCGTTTATCTTGAAGTTGAATTCTTCGTGTATGTTCGTCCAATACCTAGATATTCTGATGATGACGAGATAGGTATCCAAAGAAATGCTGAAACTTCGAGGTGGGATGAACTCTTGAAAAGATTTAAACAGCGCGATCGAGTTCCAAAACTTTGTCGAATTGAAGTAATCGAGTATTTTAGTTAGCTCCATCCAATTTGAGTTGATGGAAGAAAATCTAATGTCACTGTTAGCATTTTCGAGAATATGTGATGCTGCTGTGATGCCAAGCGAGTGTCGCTTCATAAAGGAAAGTGATGGCGCTTTCCTCTGGTCAAGTGGGCTAATATGCCCTCACGCGGTGGTGACACCACTCTCGTTTGTGATTCGGTGAGAGTCGCCGGGAAGACGAGGCGGTATCACCCATTCCAACACCTCTCTACACTCGCTCCTTCTCTCTTTCTAACTCTTTTTTTCATCTGTAATGTTGACATTATTTTTACATGACATCCGTTTAGAATCACATCAACATCATACATTTTCGAAAATATCATGAAATATCATTCAAATTAAGCACGGTTGATAAAAGTACCATTTTTTAGTCAAAATATAAAAGTATTTGATTGTGCATTTTTGTCAAATTACAGAACTTGATTGCAATGATTCAAATTTTTTTAAAACTTGAAGACCACACTTTGGCAATAAATGTTAGGACTATGGATGCCCTTATTCTATCCTCAATGGATAAGCATACTATGGATTTCAAAAGATGCCCATATTTACCCAATAAGATATTTGACTATAGCAAGATATAATATTTTATTTTGCTTTCCAAATTTTTATGGCTTGCACTATTTCCACCCGTCAAATAGCTTTAAACACCATAAAATTTAATTTGTCCAAAATAACCCTCATTAAAACCTCTTTAATAGTAAGATTAATGGAAAAAGGGAAAACATACATTTGATGTGGATCAATCAATCTTGGAATTTTATCCACCTCTCCTTAACTCTATTTGTTTTGTTCTTCTTTTGGGTTTAAAAAGCCTCTAAAATTTTAGTATTTTAATTCATTAATGACTGGAATTAGATTTTAAAAGAATATCAATAAAGTTACGGTGTTCAGAACATTTATTTACAATCTCTCTCTAAAGTTCAATATCTAATAACTCCCGGACATATAAAATTTTTTGGTTCATTCTTTTTAGTAGAATTCTTTGGTTAAAGTTGTGAGCCCTTTATGATTATAATTGAGATTGAGATATGTTAATTACTGAAGATTATCAATGTTCAGACTCATTGCAATAAAATCCTTCCCGGAGTTTAGCTTAAGCACATTGATAAGTATATGAGAGGAAATGAAATTTGTATAAAAATGAATGGAAAAACACATAAGGTGGTGGAATAAAACATTCTTTTATTAGAGATTGAACTTTAAAGAGATTGTAAATAAATGTTCTAGACACAGTAACTATTTAAGTATTCTTTTAAAATGGAATTTTAATCATTAAGTTGATTAAAATACTCCAATTTTAGAGGATTCTCGTTAGAAAAGAGAGAGAGAGAGAGAATGAATCTGTAAACTTCTCTTGTATGAACGCAAAAGACAAAAGAAGAAGAAACAATAATTTAGGAAATGTAAAGAAGATTACCAAAAAAGTCCTAAATCTATTACAATTGTGTCAATTCAATTTTATACATTTTTTTTTATAATTGAGTCATGAACATTTTGTATTTGTATCAATTCAGTCCATCCAACCAACTTTGATTGAAAATCGCTAATGTGGTGCCGCTAGCGTTGAGTAGATAATTATGATTTTTTATTATTTATTTTATTCTCTTTTTTTTTCCTTTTTTTAATGTTTTTCATTTTGGCCAGCAATGTCGTCGGAGACCCTTGCAGGCTGGGCGAGGCTGGACCTCACCAGCGGCTAAGCTGGCGAGGTCGGGCCTTAGACGAGGGATGACCTTCGCCGGCAACGCCACGTCAATAATTTCATATCAAAGTTGGTTGGACAGATAATATTGGCATATATACAAAATGTTTAGAACTCGATTAACAAAAAAAAAAGAGTTTATGACTGTATTGACACAATTAGAATAGATTTAAGACTTTTTTGATAATTTTTTCGTAAATATGGATAATATTCTGAAATTGATCGATTCACATTTAAATATGTTTAACCTTTTTCATCAATCTTACCATTAACGGGTTTTTCTAGTGAGGTCAATTATAGACGATATAAATTTTGCGGTATGTTTATACTAATTCGAGGGTCGGAAATAGCGCGAGCCAATTTTACTTGGAAAAAAAAATGAAACTTCCATACAACTTCCTCCTCGAACTCTCTTTAGTGTGATGTCGTGGAAGAACGCAGCCCGCAATCACCACGACCAACCGCCACCACTCGTCTCGTTCCATATATGCAAACCCTAAGCAAAGCTCCCTTCACAGAAACACACTTCCAGAATCTTACGTGTATCTCCTTCAATCTTCTTGATCCCTGCATCGAGCCGGATCGAACTCTCGCTAAGATTCCCAGAAATGGGCACGGTTCTCGGCAAGATCTCCGTCGAGACCCCGAAGTACCAGGTCCTCAGCTCCTGCGCCGACTACGAGATCCGCCACTACGCACCCTCCGTCGTCGCCGAGGTCACCTACACCTCCTCCCAGTTCGGCGGCAGGCGCGACGGCGGCTTCTCCGTCCTCGCCAGCTACATCGGCGCCCTGGGCGACCCCCAGAACGCCAAGCCCGAGAAGATCGCCATGACCGCCCCGGTGATCACCAAGAGCGAGAAGATCGCAATGACTGCCCCGGTGATCACCCAAGTTCCGCCCGGGGGCGGGGAGGAGGCGGTGACGATGCGGTTCGTGCTGCCGGCGAAGTACGGGAGGGCGGAGGAGGCGCCGAGGCCGCTGGACGAGAGGGTGGTGGTGAGGGAGGAGGAGGGGAGGAAGTACGGGGTGGTGAGGTTCGGCGGGGTGGCGACGGAGGGGGCGGCGACGGAGAAGGCGGAGATGCTGAGGGAGTGGCTGGAGAGGGACGGGCACAAGGTGGCGGGGGAGTGGGTGCTGGCGAGGTACAACCCGCCGTGGACGGTGCCGCCGTTGAGGACCAACGAGGTCATGATTCCGATCGAGTGAGGAGGGGCGACGCAATGGGAGTGGGCAGGCAAAGCAAAACAAGATTTGGCACTAGGGTTTTTGGCTTTCTTCTGGTGTTTTACGTTTTCTGTGATTTTCTTTGTTTTCGTTATTTTTCTTGTTCTTTTTCTTATTTTCAGTATAGAATGTCGAGAACGTAATTTGAGATGAAAATAGAGCAAGTCTCGAATTCTTCAACTATAAATCTGGTGGTCCATATATAAGCTCTACATCATCAAGGATTTTCCTTGATATCAAGAAATCCTTTCTTTCTCGTCTGCCCGGGGGTGCGAGAGGTGTACTATGTCAATTGCGCAATGAGCTGAACAGAGGGCGAAAGCACAACAATTTAGCTGCTTGTTCACAGCCGGCCTTGGGAAGACGCTGCTATCGTTGGCGAAGGTTTAGTGAAGAGGAAAATGACAAACAGTTTTTAATTTTGACTTGCAACGTGGTTTATTAATTTTTAATTTATTTAATATTATTTCTAAATTTTTTTTGTATATGTTCAATTTAATCCCTCGTACATTTTCGTATAATTTACAGACTATATACCAAAAGTCCAGTAATTATATGGAAAAAAGTTCGGGATCACATTAAATATTAGGCTAATTTAGAATTCATATTGTAAATTGGGTTAAAGTTCAGAAAGATTGTCTTTGTCATTATCCTTTGGAGAAGTAAGAAGCGATGGGATTCGTCCTTTTTTTACTGAACTGTAGGTTTTACTTGGTCTTGTTGACATGAATTCGGCTGGACAGATGGGCTTAGTTTGGTTTAGGGGGCCTTGGGCTAATTTCAGCCACAATAAGAAAGTGGGCTTGATCAAATAAGCCTGTTTCGTTTTAAGGCCTTTAGCGTCTTCCGTGACCCGGACCCGTGAGGTCCATGCCCGGTGAGACCTGCATCCGGACCAGGCCATAGGGGCCGGCCCGAGACCTTAAGAAGATGTGAAAGCGCCTTTTTCTCTCTATAATAAGGGTGCCTTCCGAGGTGTGAAGCGGGAGAGAAGGGATTTCAAAACTGGGACCATTGGAAAATCATAGAGTTACCTCACGGGGAGTTTGTTTACTTTTGGAGATGCTTCATTTGCTCTTGCTCTTCTTCTTCCCGAATAAGAGGTTTAGGTCTTACGCCCTTTTGGGCGACGATAGTAGAAAATAACATACAAACAGGCTCGTTAAAAAAAAAAAAAAGACTCTGGTACGGCACCTTAATTTTTCCGCAACTTAACTCACCCAATCTTACCTTTCAATAGGAATGCAAGAAAGGAAAGCACTTGGAACAGGTCGGACTCTAAAAAGAAAGCCTAACTTCGGAACTCAGCTTAGCCCAAGACTTTGGAATAGAGCGCAGGAAAAGCGCTTTGGGTCTCTCGATCCAAAACTACTAGAAAATTAGAAACTTAGTTAGGAAAACACTACTCCTTGTTTTCTTAGTGTAATTCATGTCTTTGCCCGGTTGGTCGCTGGTTGATTTGTGTGCTCAAATTGAAGTGTTTAATTGTCCTTACTCATGGATACTTTGATTGCTTTTCAATTACATGTATGCGTCACGGGCCGGCAGTTCTTTGATGGCGGAATAGCCCGTGCGACGCCTAGCGAGTCGCTCACACCAAGCCATCCCTTGTTCTCTAGTTGTTCGAAAGAGCAATATGGCAAATATCTTTCTCATATCGGATTATACCACGCCCAGCATAGCTCGGGTGTCTGATCCATCGAGCAAGACACACAAATCTATTTAGATATAACAACTAGTTCCCGCCTGCCATGACCTCATCAGGACAGCGGCATCAGTTCCTGACCAGTTTGTGCACGGGAGGCTAACTCCGCCTTCAGAGCTCCTAAGGGTATATTCTTTCTATCCTACAACTCTTAGCACCAATTGTCCTACTACCACTCCCTCGACCCAGTTGTATTCATCTGTTATGCATCAATCATTCTTCATCCGATAACCCCAGCACCCCTCACAAAGGTACAGGAGTATGAGATGATCACGCTTCATAACATGTGCATGTTCTTTGGCGGTTAGCTTAAGTGAGGAATTAGAATTCTAGGAATTAATGATGATAGCCTACTGTTTTGCGAACACAAGCGGGGGTTAATAATCGTTAACTTAATTAAGGAATCCCTAGTTTAATTAGGAGATGGTTGGGTCAATGAATTGCATTGGTTGAATCAAATGCTCAAATCCAATTCCCATTTGCTTATTTGTTTGCCAACTAGTGAGTAGAATTAGGCTTACCATAGATAGGATTATTCTCTAATCTCAAGCTTATGGGGTTCATGTCCCAATACTCAATGACAATGCCACGTGTATTATTTGCCTGACTTATATCGGGTTTTCATTTCCCACACATCTACTTATATGTTTTAAATACTTGGTTGTTTCATTACTGCAATGTCGTTTTAATAGCTTGCTTGTTAATTTCTTTTCTAGAATGAATAAGGCTAGTTTAGAATCATAATGAACCCCTCAAAAACATGTGCATGATTACTTAGTAGCTTTGATACCTTTAAGATCATAATAAGTAATCAAGATTGAATGGCCACTTAGATAACGACTTTCCAAGTTGATGATACCAAAAGGGTGCTAATAGATATTAGAGTAATCAAGTCTTTGAACTAGAATCTCTAGTTACATAAAAATCGAGATGATACTCTCACGTCTCGATTAGTTCCTAGCCAGCTCCAAAATGGTTAGTGACAACTCCAAAAATCCAATAAGTTAATCAAAACTCAAAACAAAATCCAACGTCACACGATGTATTGGCTTGGAAGAGCCCGCTCCTAATCAAGGGTCATTAGCCTATATTAGGCAATGCTCCTAAACTCTTTCTCTCCCCGTTTTCCCGAGATGAAACCTGAAAAGAGGGTTGCAACATTTGGCAAAAAGGCCCTTGTAAATATTTTACCAACTTTAGTCCCTTATAAAAAATATATGCATTTCGACCAACTTCTACATTTAAATTTTGAAACTATCTCTTCTTATTAGCCCGGTTACGGAAAAAATTGTTTTTGTCATTGACTATCACCCAAAACATTAATACCTCTAAATGGCCAACACGTGGCATTATACTCCCGAAACGGTATTTGACTGTAATTATATACACATTATATACTTTCGGCTATCTATATAGATATATAATTACAAACTATTAAGCATTGCCTTTAAACTTGACACTGAAGACTCTAGATAGCAAGAGGTTTTGATCATTCTCATTACAAAAGTAGTTCGTTTACGCTCTCTACCTTTTCACTTCCAGTCACGTTGTGGCCTCATTCGATATCATAAGTTTCGTTCCACAAAGAAAGGAATAATAATTGGCATCAATGAGTTTGGATGTTGGTAATTGACGATTATGAAAAATTACAGCACTTCCCACAAATTTTCCTACTACATATTTCTTTAAAAGATTTTATTATCTTCTCTCCAATCATTTCTACGCAAAAGTAGCACGAATTATCTGGTAGCAATTCGACATAATGCTTATCATTGCACAGATGATATTATCCAAAAATATCTTTAAACAAATATTTTACAACAAAACCCAACCGTGGTCTTCCAACAATCATTTTGTGAAGATTACACAATCAAATCTCAACTCTCGGTTGATTCTTATTTTCAACCTTTTTTAACCTTTGTAATGAATAATCTTTGAAAGGGAAAAGATATATATTCTTTAATAATTCATTGGCATATTATATTCCTCTATACATCTTAAAATGATGAAAATACTCAGGAATCTGTTCTTCCAATGTCTAGCTGTACATCAGAAGAAGGAACAATTGCTCCGGCTCGCTTTGACCGCATGGAAAGAGCCATGAACTTTAATAGGCTGTCGTAGGATCTCGAGATCACTCAGATACCGCAATTGCCTGCCTATTTGACAAATTTACACCGTGATACCCAACAAATCAATGGATGTTTCTTGGAAGATTTCATGCATGATCTGGCCATCTGTCCCCAAAATATGTAGTTCTCTTCGCACGTCTCATGTCTCCCCCACCAGCAATCTCCTTTCTTTGTGGTTGTAATGTTTGGGGAGCTCCCAACGAGACAGAAATAGAGGAAAGAAAAATGTATATGATGTGACTTGCCTCTTAACACATTGCCCTTACCGAATCTCTCTTTCCACTGTTGCATATTTAACGCACCGTTTGATTTAGCATTCCCAAAGGGAAAGCCTCTTGAGAAAATGCTGGAGCATTTGGCAAGCATTTCCAATGCTGGCTTTCAGCCAAAAGCCAGCATTGGGAATGCTCAAAGGTAGTCTGGACCAGCTTTAGGCTTTCAGCATTTACTAAATACTGAAACTAATTTTTTTCTTCCCAAATTACTCTCACTTATTCTTTAATATTCCGATTTTGCCCATTTGTTATTGTTCATTTTCTTTGTGCTCCAGCAAGGGTCGACGACACCGGATTCGGACGGCGAAGGGCTGGTGAGGTCGCCCGACCCCAGGCGACGGCCGCCTGAGGTCACACAACCTCGTGCGACCAAGCCAACGTCGCCTAGAGTCTCGCGACCCAAGCGACGGCCGCCTGGGTCGCGCAACCCTGGTCAGGGGTCGCCCGACCTCGGGTGATGGCCGCCGCGACCCAGGCAACGACGGCCTGGGTCGAGCGACGACCGCCTGGGTCGAGCAACCCTAGACGACAGCCGCCTGAGGTCGTGCGACCCAGGCAACGGCGGCCTGAGTCAAGCGACTCCAAGCGACGGCCGCTTGGGTCGCGCGACCCTCGCCGGGGGTCGCCTGACCTCAGGTGACAGCCGCCAGCACCAGATCTGGCTCGCCAGTGACTGTAGTCCTTCGCCGGCTCTGGCGAAGGGTAAGCTTTTTTTTTTTAATAAAAAAGAAAATCCCAAGGCCCTTTTGCAAAAAAAAATTACCCAAACACTACTTATACTAAAGTAGCTTCACAAAGGTTTTTTTACCAAACATCATTTGCATTTCCCCAATGGGCTTTAATCTAAAGGTATTTGCATTCCCTCAAGGCTCATTTGCAAAGTTGAACCAAATGGGCCCTAAGTGTGATTTAACATTCCAAGAATTAGAGCAGCTTTTTGTATTGTTAGCTAGGGTGACTTGAAGATTATTGTATGAGTAATTACGCTTTGTTGGAAGCAATAACGGCACAATGCGCTAAACTTTTCGAACATGGTGCTAGGAATAGTGATGTTACCAAAGTTTGAGTACCTAATGACCCCGTAATATTCGACGATTACTGGTCATTGTCACATGGGTCGTCATTCAAAAAAGAACTTAAAAGTTGCGATTTTATCAAAGTTTGAGCACCTAATGACCCGGCGCGATCCGATTATGATCAATCATTGACACATAGATTGCCACTGACAAAAGAATCAAAAGCAGTGAAGTTACCAAAGTTTGAGCACCTACCGACCCCGCAAAATCCGACAATGATCGATCATTAAAGCGTAAATTTTGATAAAGAAAGAATCCATGTCAACGGTACTAGGGGGAGATTAATGTATGAGAGAGGTGCCTTTTAGAACGACAAAGAAAAGGCTCTTATCACACATTCCATGTCCTATGTTGGAAAGGAACTTTGAACCAGCTTTACAGATCACTTTCTGTTGTCGGGCATATAAAGTGACCTGGGATTTAATTGCAGACGAGAGAAGCACATGGACAGCCGCTCGAATGTTCAACAACTAAAAGCAAATTCTCTATGTTGAAAGGTTGGAAATGTTTGCACTTTCTACACGCCAAAATGTACACTGATTACTCTGGCATTGTCTCAAGAATCTGCAAGTATTTACACCAAATGCCTGAGATGGAGCAATGCAAGTCGGTACGTTAATTGATCAGCCCCATCAGCTCATCTTGGCCCAATAACGTAACAGATCATCCGACCACGAGTATGATTACGTGATCAATGAATATCCGTTGCTCGACTTTTGGTCAAATTGGAAATGTTTGGACAAATTTAATGAACAGAAGAAAAATGGTTGTGAAAAATAGCAAGAAACATGTGAAAGGATTCCACTAATGTACACCCTGTGGAACTTACAATTTGTGAACACAGCCAAATTCGGCTATTCCGTCGAATTTACCATCAAATAGGCAAAAAATTATCAAACAAATAAACGAATCGGTGTGGTTTCTACTCTTCAGTGACAGGGGGTTCCCTCTGTATCAGTATATACCTGTAACTTGCAATCTAAGCTAAACTGATCTACCCTCTACAGGTGACCCAGAATCGGAATTCACATTCCTCAAATCACTCGGCACACTTGAAAGCTTCGGTTATTTTTTTCAAGCACACGAGGAACAGCCTAGGAGTTCACCCTCTTGTTTGCATGTGAATCCTCTTGATTAGGCCATTCAACTGAGCATTGCAGAGTCATATCAACCTCAGCAAAGAGGTCAACAGATTCTTGCAGTGAGCACCAACACAAATGAGAGCCTCGTAACCTACCTCTGCAACTTGACCTTCTGTCTCTCATAGTAACTCACGCTCTTAATCTGCTCCTGCAGCTTGTTACACATACACCCAGGAAGAGGATTTGCATAAAAGTTCTCCTCGAACCTCGGCGACTCCCCCACTTGTCTGAGATAAGGCGCCCCGAGCCTGTCTGAATGCAACCCCTTGACCTTCAAAGAGAAATCATCCCACGATAAATCTCCTTGTTCCAACTGATCCACCAGTTTAACATAATTTTGCCTGCAAGATAAAATAGGAAAATGAATTAAATTTCTACAAGAATTTTTGGAGTGATCCAGTAACTCCACGAACTGGCACAAGCCAGCTGAGTAAGCAAACATTACACAAATTTCAGGATTAAACATCCGCTTCCGTAGATAACAAACTATATCTAGCTGAGGATGTAAGAATAAGCATGAAATCAATGCAAACCTGTCAGGGTTTATTGTCTTCCGAAAACCTTCAAACCTCCTATGTCCTTGCACCGCCTTCGCCATGTTCCCATCGTAAGTGTAAACAAAAACGTCACTTTCAAGGGCAACAATATAGTCCAACGCGGCAAGGCGGTTCTGATATAACTTAAAAGGTTCAAGCTCTTCCTCAGTTGCCAATGTGGAGTGAGAAAAGACATTTGGGTACTCTAACCGGAAGGCGTCCATGCTGTTGCTTCCATAGATCTCGCCTGCAACGATATAGATGGTTGTAGTGGGAGGATATCCCATAGCCTTAAGGAAGAGAGCCGCCTCATGAGGAGACATGGGGCACCCTCCTTGCAGACGGCGCGCCACGCCGTCTATCTCCTTCTCCTTCCAATGCTTGACATTATACCTCATAATCCGAAGTTCCTCTGCCTCTGTTGCTGTAAGGTTGTGGCTGCAGCCAGTGAAAGCCAGCATGTCTTTCTCGTATCTGCAAAAGACAGAATCAAGAATGACTTTAGTCCTACTTGTATTAGGTCCCATTTGCCAAAAGAGGGGGCCCTTTCTTTTAAGGTGCTTAATTTTTCAATAATGACTTCCTCATATCCGCAACCAAAATCAAGAATGACCCTCATAACTTAATCATGTTCCAGATAGCAAACAACTGTCTCGCTTGCATTTGGTCCATTTGCCAAAAGAAAAAAAGGATTCCACAAGTACGGTTCGCCAAAGCGTGCAAAACTAAATTTTGCGAGACAAATCAGTCACTCAAAAAATAATCATGTGCGCATGCAAAACGTGGAAATGTGCAGTTCCCCTAGCAGTTTAAATCATTTAACTTCTACTACCCTCGATGTGACAGTACCTCAAATGTAGAGCAATGTACGGCTCGCTATTGTTCCTCAACCTGTCAACTAGTGTCTTCCCAAGCTCCTCAATCTCCTTTGCATATTTAAGAGCTTCGTAATTGGCTCGACATCTGAGTCTCTGAATGGAAGAAGCGAGGCCATTATTAGCGAGGCGTGAATCAGTATGGGTGAACTGTACCACCTTGTGCCGCTTTAACAGTGGAAGTATCTCTCCTCTATAATAACTGGCCTGTGAACAAACAAAAAAGGATTGTGAGATACAATTCCAAGACACATAAAGCATGAAGAGTTTGGAATGGGGAAAGAAGATCCATGTACCTTTGACCATGAAATAGGGGCCCTCACTAAGGGATCCTTTGCAGCATATTTGGGTGGTAGGGACTCGATAATCTCGATGTCGTCTCTCAGAACCTCTATGAAATGCTTCCAATCGAATATATCTTTGAAGTCGCTGCAAAAGCGATCTCGCTTTTAATGAATGCCAGAACTAGCAATAATATGGGAGATTGATGCCAACCATCCAAGATAGAGAAAAGATGATACCTGGGATCGGTCCAAAACGATTCGTGATCGAGAGAAGGAAGAACCAGAGTGGCATTCATAATCTTTGCGACCGCAACCATATCGCAGATCTGGGTAGATAGAGATTAAAGATACATATCAAACAAAAGAACCAATCAGATGTTGCAAAATCTGTCCAATGTAAGAAACTTACTCCTGTCCTCATCTGATTCAAACCCCCATTAGCATGAACTAGCAGATAACCATTGGTTTTCGCACCCGTTCCTGGAGAAAAACAGAGGATCAGTTTCGATGCTGACGAAGAAATTTCATCACAGGAAAAACAATGCTAGAAAATTGTGGGAGGGAAAACTCAAACCGACTTATTCGATTCTTCGGTCGAGTGACGCACTTGTAGTAGTTGTCACTGTTTGGCTTCATCCAAATTTCTGGAGTCTGTAAAATGCCAGGAGACCCATCATCTATGTTAGATCAGATCATCACAATATCGCGAGAAAGCCATAGAAGTGACATTCAATTCAGCATTGCATTAGCCTCTATTGACATATAAATCCGCCAAGAAAGGGACACTCAATAAAGCCTGAACAATATCCCAAGAAGTTTTATTTGAATCACAGAAAATCCGGTTACGATCAACCAAATGGGGCAAAAGAAATTTCTGTTCTGGAAAAAGAATGAGCTTTATCGTTCAAAGACGTGCAGTAGTTGTCAAAGGGAAGAAAGATTCATTTTATCTCGAACTTTCCCTTGAGAAGGTTAAAAAATTCAACGGGAAACTTTCACTTACAGACAATTTCTCCAAAACGCGCTTCGGCATAGATTCGCCGTCGCCGCCACCGCCACCATTCTCGGCGGCGACGGCGCGCTGGGCGTACGACCAGTCGTCCTTGAACGTCTGCAACCGCAACAGCCCGTTGTCGGCCCTCCTCCCTCCTCCTCCTCCTCCTCCGACTCCGCTGTCGGCGACGTAGCCGCTGAAGAGCGACGCCTTGAGGAAGACCGAGAACACGACGAGCAGGATCAGGCCCGCGAACACCTTGCGTCCGGCGGGCCGCCGCGACCGCACCCCGTGCGCCGCCCACGCGGCGGCGTCCTCGATCCTGAGGGCCCAGGCGTCGGGGAGGACCTTGCGGCGGAGGAGGAGGTACCGGACGGCCGGGTGGTGGTGGCCGTGGTGGTAGACGAAATTGCCGTTGTGGAGGAGGTGGGGCCCGCCCATCAGAGAGACGTTGGGGTTGCCGCTGTCGTCTTCCTCGTCGGAGGAGAAGGAGGCGTCCATGAGGGAGTCCGCCACCCGCCGCCTCTGCGCGGCGGTGGGCCCCGCGTGCCTGGGGCTAGCGTTGCATGAGTTCGTGGTGCCACCCGACGCCGTCGACACCATTGGCCCGTCAACACGAAAAAAAAAAAAAAAGAAAAAGGGGGAAAGGAAAGGAAAGGAAAGGAAAAGGAAAAACAAGACGCAAACTTCCCCCCTCCGCCCTTCCTCGTTCTTGAAACTCTGCAGATTTTCTTTCTTTCTTTCCGGGAAAGAGGAAAGGCTGGAGGGGAACGAAAGGGAGGGAAAACTAGAGAGAGAGAGAGATGGGTATTGCAGGGGTAGAGAGAAAGGAGGAGGAGGAGGAGGAGGAGGAGAAGGAGGGACGGTCTGTCTCTCTCCGTGATGAATGGCGGGCGGACGCGTCGTCAATGGTTTTCTCTCCCCTCTGAATTCCCCCCCTTCGCCCCCTGTTTATATATAGACTCTCTCTCTCTCTCTCTCTCTCTCTCTCTCTCTCTCTCGTCTCTGTTTCTCTCTCTTCTTTCTCTCTCTTCAACAGGCGCAAGTTCTTGTTCCGTAGCGCTGGTGACGAAACGGGACGGATCTGCCCTTCGAGACTCGAGGCGCCATGGGAAGATACGATTAAAAACTTCGGGTGGTGAATTCGAAGGATCGTGTCGGATGGGGCGACAGGACAGAACAGGACAGAACAGAACAGAACAGGGGGAAGGGAAGGGGAAGAAAAGGTAAAAAGGAAAAAAGAAGAGAAAAAGACAGACGGGTGAAGGAGGGCGATCGATTGGGTGGTGAGATTCTGTCAGAATTTGGGGAGGCGGATTTCGAGGAAATTCACGGAATGTTTCGATCGGAGAGGCCCCCTTCATCAGATTCGCTGCACTGATTATGTAACCCAATTGCACGTATCATGTCAGATGTGGCGTCCTAAAGTGCCCCGCACCTTATAAAAAAAAACAAAGGTAAGAGCTTTGAAATTAGTAAGTTCTTCCTCTCAAGGTAACTTATACGTGTGGTAAGATTTGATTCCTTATAAGCTGTACCAAAAATTAAAAAGGTAGATTATAAGGTTTCTCGATTTTTGGGTTTGATTAAGGGCCGCCGGGTTGGATCAGATGAGGAGGAGGAGGAGGAGGGGTGATGAAAAGGGCCGGTAAATGGATCGATGGACTCTCGGATTCATACGGAGATTACCGTCTGTCGTATCCACGAATGGAGCCCCTGAATTTTGATTAATATCTCCAGAAATCATGATGACTTTGCAATTTATCTGCATCGAATTTAATTATTTTCACTTTCGAACTCACGGGTCTGCAGTTTTCTTTTTCCATCTGTCGGGACGTTAATGTAAAATTACTCTAGCCTCTTTCTTCACAATTTCAGCACGCATATCACATGCATGATATCGTCCAATAATAGAGAAAAGCAGAGTCACTTAGCTGGCATGTAATGTTAGAGCCACAACAAATAAGTACCAAATAAACATTAATAGGTCCTAAACTTGATGCATACCGTGACATTACGTGGCGTTTTAAAGTAAATTGAGGTTTTGGGATTTAAATCAAAACCTAAAATGGCAATATCATTTGGTCAAAGCTTGTAACTTTAAAGGGTACAAGAGTAAGTGCCTAACTAGATTGCTGAAAACAGAAATAAATAAATAAAAATCTATTTGATGATGATTGAAAAGAAATAGCTAAATTTTATCAATGTCTCACCAAAGATAGAGCAATGATAATTATTGGTAGGTTTTAGCAATATGAATAACAAGACTTTTGTTGCCATCAATTATTTTTGCTAATGAATGAATTAAGCAGTCCCTCCCTCATTTGCCACATTAAGTGGATTTTTTTTACTTAATTGAGTTCAATTTGTTTTTGAATATAATTTAATTATTTTGACCAAAAAATAGATAATTTATTTATTTCCTTTTAAACATGTTCTTTCCTATATTCAGCTCTATTTTTTTTTTTTAGCTTTTTTGCTAGTTATAATAAGGAAAATGCAACATGTGTATTTCATTGCACTTGATACACTCTTAAAAGATGGGAAGGAAATTATTCTAAGGCTCCGTTTGTTTCGTGGAAAATTATTTCGGAGAAAATATTGTCCTCATTTTCCGGCGTTTGGATCGCTTAGCAAAATGAGTATGCTTAAATTTATGAAAATGATTTCCTTTTTAGTAAATTGGAAATTGTAATCCAAAAAATGACTAAATATCGGCGCTTAACCATAAACTCTACGCTTGGGGATGGGAACCCTACTGCTCATTCCCGGGTCCCCGGCATCCACAACTAAATAGTGCTTGTATATTCAGGAAAATCAAATCATATTTTCCTTTCCAAACAACGGAAAAAAAAATTCGATTTTTTTTTTCAGAATTTAGCCAGATACTGGCCAGGAAAATGGCAATATTTTCCTGGAATATGACTTACTTCCCGAAAAACATTTTCCTAAGAATGTAATATTTTTTGTGAAATAAACGGAACCTGAGATTATTTTCTTGTTGGGGGTGAATATGGTGTACATTACTCAATTTTAATGCAATGAAAAGCAGAAATTAATAGCTTTTTTTGTTAATTGAAAGATCATTGGCGAGAGGTCATGGATTGGGGTCAAACTTGGATCCCATGTATAAATAGTATTTTGACTTTCAAAGCGAAATTGCCTTTTACGTCTATGACTCTCTTACCCCATTCTAAAGTTGTGGGGCAGCCGCTTTTCTTATCACCTGGTCTTCAACACGTTCACGGTTCACGGCTTCAAAGTTCATGTCGAATGGCATTTATGCATTTGCCAAAGTTAGGTAAGGCCCCTCGGGCTCCAAAAAAACCCGACTAAACTCATGAATCAAGTAATAATCGATTGAACTCGTGTCGTGTCGTGCGCTCATTCACATGCATCTAAAGCCGACACTATGTGTGGGGTCGCATATATGAAGTCGAGGCGTGCAAGATTAGTTCACATAATGGGTACTAAAAAGACATGTCACCCACTTATAATTTGCGAATCGATTAGTATGTCAATTTTAGTATATACCCAGCAATTCTCTTCTACTTTAGCTAGTTTCCATACGAGCACCTATCTGCCCTCTTAAAACTAGATAAAATCTTTTTTTTTTGTTGGGATTCCGCTGTTACGAGAATACCTTATGAGGTGATACAAAAAGATCATGAAATTGGAGATACGAATCTGGTGTTTTATATAGATCTATAAGGTGTCAAGATTAACTGTAAGCGTTATTTAAGTTAGTAGGGACTGACATAAGCATCCGACACGAATTTGCTACATTACTCTATAAAATCTATTAAATATACTAATCGTGATGATGTGGGAGGCTACAATTGAAGATGTATATGAGTATAAAAGAGGTCTTAAGATATAATTAGGAGTGGATTAGGTTCCCTCGCAAGTAACTCAAGCTAAGTTCGATGATTACTCGAGATTAGGTTGCCTAATTCGAGCTCGAGCAACTCAAGGATTATGTCCGGTCGAGCTCGATCTCACGCTTACCAAAATACTCGGTTCAACGGGCTCATGAGCCTAATGGAGTTCTATTATTTCTTTGAAAATAGTTAATAGTTATGGAAATAGACCTGTTCATAAATCCTTAAAATTTAACAACATGCCCCATACGTAGCAATGGAGGAATTATACTTGAACTCATTAATCTCGAGCTCAAGTTTTTTTTATAACTTAATTGTAATTTAGCCGAGCAAATTCTAGGCCAAGTATTTTGATTTTCTATCAACTCGAGCTCGGACAGGGAAATTTATTATTCGATCAAAACTCGACTCGATGTTCGACTACCTAGCATGTAAATTAAGTTGTGCTTGACCTAAAACTCGAAACCAAAGGGCTCAACGCGAATGCATCCTCGGCCACAACTTACGAGAGCGCTCAACATCTCGCGACAATAACTAGCCGATGCGAAAAATGGAGTCTCGAGCTTATGATCTTCGGCGCTTCGGTCGCGATATAAAACGCCGATGCCGATACACAAAAATAATAATAAAAAATTCGCCTTCGCGATACCCGTTCGAAAGATGAGCAATTTAAACTAATTAATCAACTAATGATCCTCAAACAAATTTACATAAAATTACGCAAGGCGAGGAATGTCGAAAGGCGGAGCAATAGACTATAGAGTACAATTTTCGAACGTTCCTCGATCCTCTCGTTGGATGTCTGAAACAGACAAACCCCCCCGCTCCCCTTCGTTGTCACTGTCCATCTCATCTTTGACCTTGAAAAGGCAATATCTATATTAAAATATTTATAAAAAACAAAAGATGACAATAATTATTTGATCCGACGGTGCGTAATCTCATGACAGTCCCGCTTTCTCCCCCATCGGTCAATGTCAAACACGTGTCGCCTTCCCAGGCCGCTGGCGTCGCCCCACCGTCATGCCCTCGGCTGTCGCGTTAATTTAGCTCGCCCTTTCCATTAGAAAAAAAAAGGAAAAAGAGAAAAAAAAAACCCGCCGCCACAAATGTGGACCGTCGGATCGGATCTCCCGGCACGGTGCTCGGCCACGTGGCGGAGGGGGGGGCGGGGCGCTGTCGGTGATTCTGAGATGGACGTGCAAACCGCCGCACCGGATTGGCCCCCCCGGCCCCAGCGGCCACACGCGGGGTCCACGTCGCTGCGATCGGTGGGCTGGCCAATCATGTGGGAGCGGGACCCGAGTTGGGGGAAGAAGTCGCGGGGCCTCAACGCGGAGAACCGACCGGGATCATTTCGCACGCGCAATCGTCGGCGAGGCCCCCTTTCTCTCTCTCTTGGTTAGTAGTTGTAAAGGTCATGATTACACACGCCGGGAGTAAGGGCGAGCAAGATGAACTGCCCGAACCGGTCGGTTCTGGGCTATTCTCGAAGGCATCGGTCCGATTCCCGATTCTACAAAATTAGAACCGGTGAATTTCGGTTCGGTCGCCGGATCCAGTGTGGAACCACCCAATCGAGCCACCTGGACCGGGACGTTTTGTTTTTAATTTTTTTTGTTTGTTAAAAATCTGTGAAAAAAATCATAATCTATCTCCCATTTCACAAAAGAAGACCCTTCAAAACTGGAGCGACTAACTTTTAGTTATGCATGTGAGTAAGATAACAAGAACAAATCAAAACACAACAATAGTTGCTCATTTTAACCAAGTTTTGCCACAAAATTGAAAAAATCTCTGTGACACCTACAATGTTACGTGTAACTTATTGATAGTAAAAATGCATTGATGAACAAGAACATATTCAATTTCATTTTGAACATTAACGGCTCCATTAGCCCACTCGGGAACCGGACTGCTTGGGAACTGATCACCCCTCTCTATGTGGCCATATTTTGGTAAAACTGAAACTGAATAAAATCAAATATCAAATGCTAATCATTTCAAGTATTGGAACTTTATTAAAAAAAAACATATTATTCGATAATGGTTTAATATTGAGTATAAAATATGGTGTGGGAAAAAATTTAATTTGGTCACGTAACTCACTCCGAGCATGGTTTCATAAGCAAGTATAGTCTGTCGGTTCTTGTATTTGGTAGATATTTTAACTATGCACAAGGTCCACTCGAGGAAACCTATAAGGACTTCTCTCTCTTTCTCCGGTATGTAGATCGACGACCGCTCCATTAGATCTGTCCAAATAGATCATAAACCCATTTCTTGATCATATTTGATGAGTTGAGTTGTTATATTATAGTTATATTCAGTAAATGAGTTATAAATGAGTTTACAATGGTAAAACCTAAAATATTATGGGCGTTAAATGGGTTTACAACTTACTTAAAATAAACTCACCTCTATGATTCTCTCTTCACTCTCTTTTACCCTCACTTGATTCGCGCTTGCTCACTCTAAGCTCTCACCTCAGTTTTAAGATTAGATTCAATATGGAAGTGCTTTAATAATATATGGATTAGGTTGATTATATATCACTACAGTTGTATTGCACGAAAATTATGTCAATTTGGGTCAGACTATTTTCAACCCGATCCACCAGTTTGACGAGTCTACGCCCCATTATTGTACGAGTGCGAGGGATGCTCGTCCCTCCTTGTCGTGCTCCATGGCCATCTCATCTTTGCTCCCACGTGGCGTTCTACTGCTTAGGTTTGGATGCCTCGTTAGTTTCGCATGATCTAACAAATGAAATAAGTAGGGTGTGTATGTTCACACATGAGCTGTCCTTGGGTTTTTATGAATCCGAACTTAAAGTATTACCATGGGCCAACATATGCAGAATGTGAAAAATAAGCAAGCAGTCTGGGACCTAGCGCAAGAAAAAATGAACTTGGCTGTACTTTCCTCTGGTCAAAATCAAACGAAACTCCCCATCTGATGTTGAATTCGATTGAAGAAGCATCGAAAAGGTGGGAATCGAAAGGGAGTTCCATTCACAACGTGGGCCAGCTAGCAGCGCTCCTGTACTGAATAGCTACCGCCGTACTCGTTCGTGCTCATCACATCTCCCCAGTTCCTGTGCGCGAACCCAAGAAGGCTTCGAAGCAAAGGACTCGATACTGGTCCTCCACCATCCCAGGTCAACCTTTCGACGTGTCAAAGGTATATCAGTAGTGCTTTCTTTTCCCCTCTAATAAAGAGCACCGATATCAGTCTTCCTTAACAACAAAAGAAAGCCAACACGATTGGAGCGCAAGATCAATGCGTGAAACACAGGAGAAGTACGAGGTCTAGGTTCTTTCTGGGTCGGTGTTGCCGATCAGTACTATTATATTGGAAAAGGGCATCATCTTCGATCTGATTCATTCGTGATGCCCCGACAGATTGTGCGATGATGCACGACACTATCTGAGAGATACTATTCCTAATGATGATCAGTACTATTCTTTTTCGTTCTTTTCACGACTTGTTCTTTAGGTGGTTCTGGTCCTCCCTTATTTTTTATGAAATTATGGAGCATGCATACACACATCATGTTTTACAACTACATTTTCTTCATCTTGTTGAATGGGCGAGCATTACTTTTTTCGCACTTCCTTTTTTTTAATTTCCGGGTGTAGATTGAGATAATCTATTTCATAAAGCTTTATAGAATTGTTTAGTGTTTGTTTCGATTGTTTCGAATTTCAAAGAAGATCGGCTGATGTCATTAGTCGGTAGGGGGAACGTACCAAAAAAGTCATAAATACATTATATTGGTATCAATTCGGCTATAAACCTTTCAATTTGATCAATTTAGCCCTAAACATTTTGTATTTATGCTTGATTTCATCCGGCCAATTTTGGCCAGGAATCGCTGACATGAATGTTGGCCGTCCTGCGTGGTACAACTGGCGCTGCTGTGGATAAATTTTACGAAATTTTAATATTTTTCTGAATTTTCTATTTTTTCAGTGTGGTCGGAAAGGGTCGCCAAGCTCTCGCCAAATCTCTATAGGCAAGAACATTGAGTTATTTGATTGATTGATGGGGCTTTATATAATCTATCACTTGTTGATAATAAGCAAAAGTTGGTCATTTTTTCGTGTAACAAATCCATGAGATTTTGGTAGACCACAGCCGACTATTGTAAAAGCTTAAGCTGTTAGATAAAGACGTGATTTAATATTTAATTATTCTAACACTCCTCCTCACGCTTAGTCTGGTCTTTTTGCCTAGTACTAGGTGTGGACGTATTTAATTGGGGAGCTCTAGTTCTGATACCATGTGAAATTTTGGTGCACCACTGTCGCGTGTTCTAAAAGCTTAAACTGTTAGATGAAGACGTTGTTTAATATTTAATTATTCTAACAAAATCTTTCTTTTCTCTTTTTTCTTTTTCATTTTAGACATTAAACAGAGCCTAATGCTTCAGCTATTCCTTATTAGTCACAGACTCGTGACAGAAACCTCGATCGCCCAGGTACTTTGATGCTTTTTGATTTGTCTTAACCCCATGTGCGCATTAGGCGATTCTTATGCCGATATGGTAGCTCACGGGTCATTGCATATGATGATGGAGTCATCACATCGGTCGATAATTTACGATTAAAATGGTACGAGAAAACCATCATAACTCACTAAACAAACCTGTTACACATTATGTTTTTTTTCCTATATGAAGACAAGGTGTGAATGCACACTGGACTTTTGGACAACATTGCAGTACTCTGTGATGACGCTTTTGTGTTTGCAGCATTGTTTGTGATCTTTTTTATATGGGCTAACGCCAAATCCTTTACAAGTTTCGCTGGGCCACAGTCATCGACTTACTTATGTAGCCACCAACCTCATTCAGAAGTTTTTCTTCGTGGAAGCATCGTCTTGAGGAGATTCCACGAATATTATTACTTGGGTATCGACTAGCAAGTGATAATTGCAAATACATAATCTCAAGGCACCTAATTTTGTCGACTAGGGCAAGGCTGAGATGGAAATCGACGCTTGAGAGAGAGAGAGAGAGAGAGAGAGAGAGAAGTGCACCTATTTCTTGACTAGTTGGTCGATTAATCTTTCCTATTGGCATTTGCTCTTATGGCAAGTGGGTTTATCCTGAGATACATTTGAAGGGGAAAACCAATTAATCAGGCATGTAGGCCTCATTGATCGGTCGATGTCCCAAAAGAATATGGGTATTCTTCTCGTATTTTCTATATGAGCAAGTCTTCGATTGCTCGAGACGACAAGAGGCGGCAATAAGAGAGCAGTGATCAAAGGGAGTTTCACACAATTATGACGGTAAAGGACGTCCAGCGTTAGCTCACGAACATGACAACTTCATTAACATCAGAAACATGATAGTAATCTTTACTCCAACATGCCAACCCCACGTGGAAGTTCCTATTTTTGTGTTCGCACCCACATGTTCTATATGCATAAGCAAAATAAAGGAACAACTCCAACCCAGAATTTGTAAAAGCAAGAAACTCAATATTCAATGACATTACCGCATGATGAAACACACAGACATCACACAAAATGTACGCCTCAAAAGCCTCGACCAACCCAAAGCACCACAAGGACAAAACGAAGGAAGCCAACATGTAGCAGTCTCTCTCAACGATGTCAAACTTGCTAAAGACCTTATTCGGCATGTACAATACACAAGTTCGTAAAATATGGAGACCTTCACGCTTATAACTTCAACCACTCCAAGCAAGGACAGAGTCCCCAGCAAAATTGAGCAGGATAGTAGTCCTTCAAATAAACCTCCCTGCTATATCCGATGATGTAGAAGCTGAAGGCCCTCTTACGATGCGTCATGGTCACGCGCGTCACTGGCACGACCGAGATCGCGTGCCTCTCGCATATCACCCTTGCAGTTGGAGGCACAGAAGCCCTATCGGAGATGACTTCGGAAGAGAACTTATTGAGGAAGAACGAGTCCGCAAAGAAAGCTGGAGTGCACTGATATGCTTGAGTGTTGCACAACTGGACCCCTCTTGCTCTGTGGAAAACTTCGTCTGGAACCGAAGCGGCTCCACTTGTTGCACTCACTTTTCGGGTTGACAGAGTCTTCCTATAATGACAGAAGAGTATCTTAACCAATGTTTTGTTCAACCACCTGATGTATACTCGAGGCAAGCAAGTTAAACGGTTCTACTTCTACCTTTTAAAGGTCACCTAAATATTCGAGAGCTATGAAAACCAATACACTCATACGAAACACACACCTCACAACGTGCTATCACAACTGAGCACTGCAGACATTTTTCTAACAACATACTATCACAACTGAAAACATGAAAGCACGTTATCCAACACAATTCCTATTGTTGAATTTAAGTAGGTACTCAAATTAGAGCATCTCCAGTTCCTTCACTCGAAAGATTTCCATGATGGCTTCTCATTAAACCCTTAATGAGGTACCATTTGTGCCATAGGTAGCTGTTATCATGCTAAGTTGCTGTTAAGATGCAAACTATAGAGTCCGACAGTGGAAGCAAGAGTCAACAACACTCTGGAGACATTGAAGGTTTGCTTCCTATGGAAAAACACGCATATAGTTGTGATTGTGCAGTAACAGAGGGAGAGCAAGCAGGCATTATACATATCTTTGTCAAAAAGTACAGCATCAAGACTTCTGTGCGTTCAGTTAGTTCACCCACTAGTTCTACAGTGTAGTAAAACTTCCAAAAGCACGTGAGCACACGTACCATTTGACAACAGCAACACCTCGTGAGAGAAGAGACCCACTTCCGAGACATGTTTCGCATTGAATAAGTCCACGAGATCCACAAGTTGCGCAAGGAATCTTCCCCTTGCCAGTGCATTTGGCACATCTACGAAAATAGAATTATTAACACCATGTCATCCACAATAAACAATCAGCGTCCACTGGACGCCGTCCAGTATTCTGATGCAAGTATACATCAGGAACATCAGATGAACCAACCAACCAGTCTGCCGAAATCATCTCGCCCAACATCATGAACTATGGTGATGGGACTGAGATTTTGCACCATAAATTTGAGTTATGCAGATATTAAGCCCTAGTCTACATGGAAAAGAATGCTGATGACCCGAGAACAAGATAAAGCTTAGGAATATGTAATCAAAATTGCAAGCTTCAGAGCAAAGATATTACATGGAATCAGATCCATCTCTATGGGCAATTAAACCCCTTCCATGACAACCAGGGCATGGCGTCATCTGATTTTCTTTATAAAATCCATGTTCCTGATCTGCATTGCAAGTGGGACACACTCGATCTCCCCGTCCACCACAACCTGCACAACTTTCCTCAAGTTATGCTAGTTCATAAACAAAGCCACATATCACATGACTGATCATAATCACGACATAAGTAGAACTTCCTCGTCCTTTATATCTTGTTTTTAACCTACCTAAAATGATTATCATAGACGGCACACAGCAGATAACAGAAAAATGCTACAGAGAAGAAGGATAAAGATGGGCAGTATCACAAATGGAAACATCCTTACATGAAAAGCGGTAAAAAAATATTTATCCTAAAACATACCTGAGCATTTCTCTATAGTCTCAGAATGAGGAACTTTTGTCCGTGTCTCCTTGTAGGGAACAAATAGGACAGGAAATTGAGACCTCAGATCCAATTCCCAAATTCCCAGTTCAGGACCCTTATCCTTTCCGTCGATGTTGCCACCACGGTGGGGTTCTGTTTCTCTTATAATTTCTCTCTCCTCTAAAAAGGTATCTAAAGTTCCCACGTAAACATTGCAATCTTCAACTGCGCGAATTTTCCAAGTACGAGCAGGACGACTTCCCCAACAGCAGCGATGACCAACATGATCAATAAGCAACTCCCGTATCTCTACTTCATCCAGTATTTGCCTACATAAGGTGACACGGTGAGTAGACCATTGTTTTGGAACGCAATAGGCAAGACTTTTTAACATAACTTATCACAGAGCATAAAACAAAGGATAATTGCAGCTACACGTTAAAGTGTCATTCTAACCATGTCAAACACTGATTTCGTATGGCGAGCAATAAGGACACCCTTCAACTTTTTCTAATCGAGTTCAATACAGGATGGGATTCTGTTGGCCTTACTAAAAGGTACTTGCTATAGTTCCACACAGCGAATGGATGATAAGCCAATGTTATCACTCTTGAAAAATAACGTAAAGGAACAAAGGCATGGGTTGCAAATTGCAGCATGAAAGCATGCTGCAAATCATGTACTCGGTCCAAACTATACTGATTAAACACGGCAAGAAGGGACCTTGCGTTTTCTTGACCAGTATAATACCTAAACCCTGTTAGAAGTTCAATGAAAGGAAAAATCTACATCCCTAATATTAAAGGAAAAAGTCGTTTTTCCACTAAAGGTTCGGAAAAACAGAACTCACTTTTTTGGATATACCAACTTTCCTGAAGAGACACAACAGCATGCTTTATTACAGGACAAGACTGAAACTTTACGGAATTTCCAAAGACAAAAAAAAAAAAAAAACTTTCCTATAGGAATTGGCCGGCGAGATTTGGTTATTCCTCAAGGTTAACAGTAGCACTCCTAGTAAACCAAGCTTTCTATATAAATGTTGCGAAAGTATTCTATTAACGTTATGAATGTACCAATAGGCATCCGAAAATTAACGAAAATTAATTCATGAAATGTTTGCAATCCACAGAAGTGTCATGATCTTGCAAGCTGATTGAACAAAAGGGCGAGAGCACCAGAAAATATAACATGATGAAGATGTTTCAGCTGAGCTGAATGGACAACTGAAACTATAGCAACAACATAAGTAATTTGAAGTATAGAAGGCTGGAAGCACAAGAAGATGAATGAAACCTATGTGTCGCAACTCGTAAGGGTATGCTTGTGGAAAAGCAAAATGGTTTCAGCTAACTATTACACGCATGAAAATGATCCTCACGAAAAGCAAGGGCGACTTTAACAGATCGTACCTCTGAAATTCACTGGTGGTTCCGCCATAGTCCTCTCCATATCCACCTTGATATACAATTGCTTGCTCTGCAGAGCATAAAATTCGATAGTGACAAGAACTAAATTAACCTGCACACGTCCTAAAGTTTCGACTTTCGAGCATGAAGAGTCAAACCCAAAATCAATCAAGCCAAAGGATCACGCTTTCCTTAGTTTCGTAAGGCGAACAATGATCATAATTACAACGCTTAGCAAGTAATTACCTAACCCACATTCTTTTCAGAGAGGTATTAAGCGAACTCAGATAGACATCTACCAGAAGCGATCTCAGACACGCTCGACCCAAAATCCAAAACTCGGAGATAGCCACGCACGTACCGCCGGGATCGGGCTCGGGCGAGGAGACGAGGGCGGCGTGAATCGAGGGCGGGTAGCGTTCGGAGGCGGCGGCGGCGGACCGAATCTCGTCGACGCTGACTTCGGTGCCGGCCAGAGACGCGGTGGTGGGGATCACGGAGCCGGTCCTCCCCAGGTACTGGTACGAGCGCCACTTGTCGCTTTCCTTCTCCCCATTTTCGCTCCTTATCTCTTCAAGAAGACCCGGAAAGTCACAAGACCGCGGCTAGACATGCCAGGCAAGAAACGAAAACACCGAACCCAGAGAGCAATGGATGCGTACCTGAGAGCAGCGGTTCCTCCATCATCTGGGTCTCGGAAGGCACACACACAGAGAGAGAGACTGAAGAGACACAGAGGTAGACGTTGAATATAAATGCGGGAAAACTTGTTTCCTTAGCCAAGAAGGAAGAGAAGCCAAAAGGGTAAGCGCTTTTCGTCTGAATTCGGGCCGTAGTAGCTAAGATGGAGGAGGGTCCACGCGTTGCAGAAGTCGGTACGTGCGTGCGTCCTCGCAAATCGCTTTCATGGATTCGCGCAGGATCGAAGAGACGATTGAGAAGGCGCGCGGTGAGAAGAAGAAGGGTCGATTGCAAGAAACTCGCCACGACTTTCCTTTTCACTTCCTTGGGTCGATCCATGTGAAGTTGCCACCAAATTTCACAGGGCCGACATCGACATTGTCGGATCACAAAACCACGAATCTCGATCGCTCGTCGAACGTTTTCTCAATATTTGTAAAGTACGATGTTCTATTTAGGAGGTGTCATGAAATGCGGTCGGATATGGCATTCTTAATACGGTGGATAGATCATTCGAGGGACCGTAAAAGTCCCTAATTTTCTCGACCTAAAAATAATGGCATTTTTAATATGGGGGAAAGTTCATGAACTATACTTTTTTTTTTTTGGGGTCGAAGATGAGCTATTGAACAAATTAAAATTTTATATATTAGATTGAATATTTATGAATAGTTCATGGATCACATTAAATTAAAAGTTCGAGAATAACATTGCATATTGGGTCAGCATTTAAGGACTCTTTGTGTCATTATTCCTAATTATATTTGTAACTTGTTGCAATTTGTATCTACAACAACATATGAAAATTAGGTTAATTCAAAAAAAAAAGTATCAACTTTACCAGGAGCAACAATTATGGCCCAAACTTTATTGTGTCTTATAAAAAATCACCAACTTTCACTCAAATCTCAAATTTGACCCCCGTGATGTGAAATTTTCAATTGTTCGAGCAAGATTCAGGAGTTAAGTAAAAGTTGGTGATCTTTTATGAGATAAAATGAAGTTCGAGCCATAATTGTTACCAACGGGCTAGATTTTGGTCTCGGGTGAAAGTTGGTAATTTTTTATGAGACAAAATAAAATTCGGGTAAGAATTGTCACTCACGGTAAAGTTGGTATTTTTTTTTTTCGAATTAACCCTATGAAAATTTGATTGTAAAAGCTAAAATTGTGTACTCGTGGCTTCCGACACAGACAATATACAAAATTCAGCATGTCATTTTTGTATCTTTCTCTTTGTACGCTGTCTTTTTTCACGTATAATATTCCCTATACGCGAATAGATTGTGCCTAACATTACCGTCTACATTCATTATGTATTACGCGGATCGTATAACGAGTGTCCACTAGGCACTTGCCGAGCACATGCTTTACAAAAGTTTACAATTTTTAATGTCCCGCTTTTCTCTTTTCAACAAAATCTATATCGTTATGCAACACGTAAAATTAACAAAATAAATAAATCGATTTTCCCGATCGAACCTAACACACCTCCTTAATCCACGATCTACATATGGCAAGCTAACTCGTCCTCCTTCGTCCCGACAATAAATCATACACAAAGTTAGGGCTGGACCGTGCAAAACGACGTCGCCTTGTCGTAATTAAATATAAAAATGCTTTAATGCAACGGCACAAAACGTGATATGTTTTCTTTTTCAGTGGTTTTAGGACCCTCTCCGGTCTGCTCTCTCTAACCAATTCGGAAAAAAAAAAATATACGCCGTCGCCGTTGCCGTCGCCGGCGCCGGCGGTGACTGTTGTTTTTACCCCCAAAACCTTTCAATTTAGGGTTTTTTCTTCTCGACAGATTTCATCTCCGTGAAGAATCTGAAGCGAAAGTTCCTCCGAATTCCTGGAAATCGCCGGAATCTGAGGCCGAGGAGGAGGGGGCGGAGGAGATTTCCGCGACGGTTTCCGGCGGCGAGATGCTCCAGATTCGATTGAAGAGGGACCCGATCTCCGAGGGGGGCGGCGGAGGGCTGAAGCCGTCGCCGGCGGAGACCGTGACCGTCGCCTGCCCCGACCACCTCGTCCTCGCCGACCTCCCCGTGGCGAAGGGCCTCGGGCCCGCCGCCGCCGCCGCCTCGCTCGCGAAGCCCGTCGGCCGCAAGTCCCGCCGCCAGCTCGGCGAGCGCGTCCACTTCTGCGTCCGCTGCGACTTCCCGATCGCCATCTACGGGCGGCTGGTATGCGTTCTTCTTCGTTGCCTTGATCGAACGAGTCGGCGTTACTGATTTGGTGACTGATTGGGTAGCTGGCTCTGAGGTGTGTCGATATAGGAAGTTTGGGACACTGGGTAGTGATTTCCAGGATGCCTGCGCTCGATTGGGTGCATTCCTCTTTTGGCTAGGGCATGCTTATTGCTGATCCTCGATGCGGTCGGAGTATTCGTTAGACCCATAGTAGTGTTGCTGGTGGATATCGAGGACTTGGTCGAATTGCTAATGGGTTTTCTGCTTTGTTTTTTGTTGGCAGAGCCCTTGTGAGCATGCCTTTTGTCTTGACTGTGCTAGGAGTGATTCAATCTGTTATCTGTAAGTACATCTTTCCTACATTGCTCGCGACTACGAAATGCATCTCCTTAAGCAATATGAGGTACACTTTGAGCTGTCTGGTTGATGTGATTTCAGTGGATCCGGGGTGTTCTGAAAATGAAGACAAGTGCAAACTCTGGCTTGATAGAGCAGCCTCCATGTATACATGAAACTTAAACTGAGCCCCAATTTAAACAATTGTGAAACAAGACTTGCTTTAAGAATCATCATGTCCTACCTCTTCTGTCATATCTTCCTCATCTCATAATACCACCTGGAATTTATCTTTACCTGCCAAATTCTTTGGTTCTCGTACTGATTTCTATGTTTGACACTGTAATGTTTCTCGATCGTCTCGGAAAGACTGGAATTTTGGTCTGACTCTCATTAGCAAATGGTCTGTATGTGATGTTGACTATGGTGGATGGTAGATTCTCGTGACTAACAAGTAAAAGGCGTAAGATAGAGAAAGAGAATGGACTAGCTATGACAAGGCGCGAGTCCAGAAGGAACATTCTCCGAGTTGAACTTTTGTTCATCCTTTTGGATTTATGTACCCATACCCTGTCTGCCCTCTACATGAGAGCAATGTTATACCGGTGATGCAGATGTTGCATGCAATTTAAGTTGGGTGCAGTAGTTGGTTCAATGCATTAGTCAATATTTTCTTTGTTGGGATAGAAAAGTAGGTCAGATTTTATTGGTAAATTAGATTGTGGTTTTTGGGCCAGGCTGCCCGAGGGTATCTCTCTTTGCAATGATCTATTAGCAAAACACAACAGAATAAAAGCAAGTTAAGTACTTGCAATGGGAAGATTAGTGTAGCAAGTTAAATACTAGCAATGGGCAGATTAATGTTTACAAGAAGCAAATTGCTTTGTCTAAGGGTAGACTTATTGCTTCTTTGCTACCATTTGCAAGCTATAGTTGAATATGGCAGAACAAAAGCAAGTTGAGTACGTGCAAAAGGGAAAATCGTTGAAGCAAATTGCTTTGTGTAAGGGTAGACTGATGCTTCTTTGTTGCCATTAGCAAACTATTGGTGGTGGTGTTTACTATTTTTCACCTGTTTCTTAATCAAGACATAGCAGCTGCAGAAATTATAGCCCTCATGGCAACGGACAGTGATTACCTTTTTATATTTTAAATTGTAGCAATCATTTCTAGCTTTGAAAACTTTATGAGATCATATTGACGAGTGAGCTGAATAAATAGTTAATTCTTTGTGTGACACAGGTGTGATGACCGTATTCAGAAAATTCAGACCATAAAGATGATGGAGGGACTCTTTATATGTGCAGCACCCCACTGTCTGAAGTCTTTTCTAAAGAAAAGTGAATTTGAATCTCATATACACGAGACCCATGGTGACCTTCTTCAGCCTAATGCTGAAAAGGAAGATGGAAATGAATCAGATGCACGCGGTATCAAACAATCTACTGCTTCCGAATCTACTGCACGAGCTCCACCAAGGCCTGTCTTTTCTCCCGGTTCATCACAGCTTCATGATCGTGACGACAAGGCTCGCCATCAGCATGGTAGAGAACAACCTCCTCCAAGGCCAATTATGCACCAGAAGCCACCAGCTTTCTTAGGGCAGGTCCAAAACAATCCTTCTGATTCGCAAGCAGACAACCAACGTCTTCCAGGGTTTGATAGGCGCTTCCATATGGATGTGCAGGGTGGACCCCAACAAGAACCTAGCCATTTCCCAGAGAAACAGCCTGGGGTTTTATCAGACTCTCCCTTTCAAGAATACCCTATGCATTCTATTCAACAACCAAACTTTGTTGTGCCATTACAGTCAAATCAAATGCTGACACCCCCACCTCCTTTCAGTTTCCCTCCTTTCCCCATGGAGGGAGCTCAGCCATATTTTCCTGCATCCTATGATACAGTGCGGCAGGATTCAGCTCCTGAAGGTGGTCCAGAGTCAGGTTCATTGCTGGGATTCCCACCAGGTCCACCTGGTGGAGTGAATTTCATGGCTGGATATCCTCAGCCATGGAACACTGGGATGGCCGCACCATTCGAACCTCCGACAGGAGGCCAAGGAGCTGGAGATGGTTATGCAAATCCCGCAGATGTCCAAGGAAGAGTCCCGTTGTACCAGGGCGATTACATGCGAAATTCAGGAACATTGCCTTTGAATCCTCCTCCCCCACCTCCTTTAGCTGGCAAGGGTTTGGAAACTGCTCGAGGTAGTAGTGTCGATGTAAGAGACGGCAAGGGAATATTGGCACCACAACCCTTGCCACTTCCACCGCCGCCGCCACCGGGACCTCCATCTCATATGTCTCACTCGCAGATCCAGCGGGGCAAGTTCTATCCAGGCGATATGGGGCATGAGGGACAGGGTTATGGGTGGCAGCATGAGAACCGGGATAGCTTCGGGAGCAGTCACGAATAGAGAAGCCAATTTTCCATACTCTTATGTATCCCTCTTTTTTTATAGCACTGAACTGATTGATGATGCTTCATCTGTAACGCTGTTGGACAGTATTGGCCCCCGGTCACTATATTCTTGGCTTTGTTCCTTAATTCTGCTTAGAAGCCACCCTCAAATGCCAAAGAAGGTTGCCCATTTAATACTTTCGCCTTTTTATTATTACCACGTTGACTGTTTATTTCAACCATCGCCGATACCAGGGATTCCCCTTGCACTTTTGTCTTCTTTTCAAATACAATCTTTACGATTTGATTGTCTCTAGGTTTCACATTGGGGGATGGAGAATTACCTTATTTTACTTCAGTGCTGATATTCAGACTGAGCTAGAGCGTGCTTGAATTTTAGCCATTCAGGTAAATGAGCACTAAACATTGTACCGACTTGCACTGTTAGAACAAGTCAGTCATGTCAAATAATGTCTTGGATCACGAGGTGTCAACTAAAATGTCGTGGGATCCTGGATAGGAATAATTCATGCTTCTGGAACGACCACAACCTTAGACGATTTGTGCTAGGATGTTTTCATTTGCTTGAAACTTGAAGCCCCTCATGGGAACATTATCCAAAAAGTCCTAAAATCTATTGTATTTTTGCCAATTCAGTCCTAAACCTTTTAAGTTTGCCAATTCAGTCCTAAACCTTTTTACTTCTTGTCAATTGAGTCCATCCGGTCAATTTTGGCTGGCCAGTGCCGGCCATATGGGCAACGCTGACGTGACAATTTTTTAATATTTTTTTTCAAATTTTTAAATATTTTTTTTTTCTAACTTCTTCCCTCTGACCGGTCCAGCGACCGACCAGAGGCGAGGGCCGATGAGGTTGACCTAGCTGGGCCCTCATGGTCGGTAGGCAATCACAATAATGTTCATCATTACGCTGCTTCTTTGATCCTGCTCTTATACGATTGTTCAACATGACTGAAAATGTTTCACCGCTGGTTTTGTTAGTACTTCTCCATAAGTAATTCCAATCTAGGGTAAGGGAGGGAACGATAACAGAAATTAACTGTAGATAGCTTCTAGTTCACAATGTCTATGGCAGTTCGCCTACATAAACCATCACAAATATCAATCCCAAGGATATCTACTTGCACTCGCACGATCCAATGTTCACACACCAGTTGATCAATCGCAAAAGCAATTTGGTCAGTCAGATAACGCATTAAGAGTAAGAGAGGCACGAATGTGTATCATACTTCAAGCCTAGCCCCAAAAGAAATTAAAATCTGTACAAATCGTAAGTACATACAAGTTTCCTTTTTCATTTGTTCCGCTAACAAGAAGGATTCTCTCCAGATACTCAACACAACATTTTTGCCCCAGCTGAAAGCTACTGTTGGAAGACAGACTCCTCATAACCCTGAAGCTCCAGACTAAAACTCGATAAACGAAACATATTGACAAAAAAATAGGCATATAGAGAAAGGGAAAAAAAAAAAAGCACTCAAAACTCACTAATAATCCTGTCCACCCCAGCATCTTGGAAAAATGGAATGGAATGGGAGACAGAGAGACAGAAAAGGAAGATACAGTGGTTACAGAGAAGACACATCTAACGGGAATAAAGGCGAGAGATGTAGGACATCAACTCAGTTTTTTCTGCTCTGCAATCCATTGCTGAACTTTGCTGATATAACCTTCAGATAATTTTGAGTAAAACTGCACGGCACTGCCATAACATGCCATGACGTACTTATCAAAATGTTCTTCATACTTCTCGTAGAGAGCTGGAACCGTGAGGATGACAACAAGGCCTGCCATTTGGTAGGTATGAGAGTTATATATTTCTTCTTGATTCTCATTTAAAGAGGAATGAGTCAGTTAATACAACACAATAGCAATACACATTTTGAAATTCAATTTCTACTACCGATCACGGAAAAAGATAATGATAATGAAACTTACTAGTGTATCCCAATGTGAGGAAATCAGTTAAGCTGCCAACTATGGAAATCAGCAACAAGGATATAGCGACTTTAAAATACATCCACGTATCTTTACCCAAGGCAACATCTTGGAAAGCCAAGAGCAGAGCATTTATATGAGTTCGGGCAAAAGCTGCCACATCGTTCATCATATCTTCTGATATGTGCATCTCTGGTAGGGGTGGAGAAGGTCTGCAAAAGAAAAAACAAACATAAAATAAAATTTTTGACGTCATCAGTGGCATGCTCATATGTACAATGTCATCAGTGGTTCCATGCTCATATGTCATCAAAAAGGAGATACTACTCGGCAGCAATTTCATTCATGAGGTAAATGTAACCAATAAGAATTAAGCATCTCAACTTCACTTGCGAAACAAATCTTCTCTGACTCATTGAATCGATAGCAAAAAATGTCATTGGGAAGCTGTATCTTAGATGCAACCTCAGCACATCAAGTGTTCACGACACAGTGTAGACTATGCCTTCTGGTAACAGTTGGATTAGATGCCCAATGCCTTTCCTTATTCAAGATATTCTTTGTAGCTCAAACATGCTGCTGAGCAAATCATAATGGCTCGTTAATTGTCATCAGGATCCTGAATTAATAAACTTTGCAGCATGAATTTAAAACTAACCAGTAATCGAGTTGATTCATTTTCAAGCAGTAAGCACCTTCTTCTTGGAGGACTTTAATACGGATTTGCAGGTTTAATGCTTTCTAATCACTAACTACAATGTACATAGTAGAACTTTGAAGTAGAAGAGAGTACCAAGGTATTTGATTCTTTAGAAACCTCCCAATTTTCAATTGATCAGTCCATTGTGCCATGAATCCCTTACACCATTGAGCATCCGCTTTTCTTTTTGTTTTATTCTTCTTTTAAATGATCTGTAGTAGGTAGAGGTAGCAAATGTGGTCTAGATTTATAAGGCTTACACAGCGAATATACTCAGATCAAAGACTATTATTGTGGTAGTGGATCAAAAAGAGGAAACAGTGAATGGTAAGATCCTAATTTTGCAGGTTCTCAATCAGAATTAATGCACCGCCAGAATCTCTTCGACCAATATCATTCAAGATTGTAACTGCATATTGCAGACATAGACAACAACAGATTCACATCCGAGCCATCGCATAACTAATGCCTCACGCAACCACCAGAAGGAAAACCATGTTTCTGTCAGATGCAGCTTGATAAACACCGATATATCAGAGCACAACGAAAATAATGCTCATTTACGCTTAGTGCAGTTAACAAAAGCACTTTACATTAGACTTACCTATTGAGTATGGCTGCAGATTTGGCCCAAAGAAAGAGAATAGTGGTGAGTAGGAGCAGAACACTGGAGGATAGCGATAATAGAGTATATCCAGATATTTCAAACACAACCCAAGCAGCTAGAGTCACTACCAGTATCCCCCATGTCAATTTGTTCCTCCTCCATAATATAACATCCGCAACTGTTCCAACTCAAACCAAACAAAAACGGAAATCCACCATTAATTTCTCAAATCCATATAAAGCCAAAACGCATGGATCAGAGGCATAATCCATGATAGTCATAATACATTCATCGGGTAAGTATCAATTGCAAAGAAAGATCAATGCTTGACAAGATCAAGAAAGACCCATCAACGATACAACACTGCATTCACAGTCAAGTGCGCCGATTACCAATGAAAAGAGGATGAAGGAAACTATCTGCAGCTGGGCAAGATCGCACCGCCGATGATCGGAAACCAGAGACAGATTGGAACGAGGAACAAGATAGAAAAGTCATACCAAGACCTCCGCCAAGCACCTCATGGACAGTTCTCTGCCTGTTGAACAATCGGTCAGACGAACCCATTTCCGAAGAAAGATCGAATCCTCGGAGACCCGTTGTCCTAGAACATTTCAGCGCGTGGTTCCGAGACCAGTACAGAGGAGCAGCCGTAATGCCATGTCTTGGACTCTCTCTGAAGTTTCGTACTTTTTCCCTGTTTCCTGTCTATTGAAACCACTGACTTTTAGTGGTATGGAATTAAAGTATTGCTCGGAAATCTTAAAAGAACAGAAACAGGGGATGAATGAATGTTGAAAGTTGTGACTGGTTGGTTGGTGGTCTCCCATTTCCAGCCTAAAAGCTGAAAAGAGCACCGGTCATCATCATCATTCATGACCTCTCTCTCAGCTTCGATCCATCCTCTCTTTTTTTCTCTTTCCTTTCTTCGTGAGCAAACTAATAAGAAGTAGTGCACTAATAAGGGTGATCATGATCAGCTACATTCACATCCAACTTTTCCATTGTTTTTTTTTTTTTACCTATTGAAAATAAATGCCGGGATACCATTTCTAAGTCCGCCCGATCCGTAAAATATAATTTATACAGCTGTTATCGGATGCGCAACATGTGATTCGTTGCGTAATTAAGTTCTTTCGCGTGCCAATAACTTGAGCGTTTTTTGTTGACATTCCGTGTAGAGATTTTAGGGAAGCAGTGCTTCTTCAAACCACAAGCTCCTAACAAAATTACTGAGAATTAAGCAAGCTGGGATCGTGCAATGGTCAGGTGGGGACATAGTTTGCTCGATCAACGACGCTTCAGCAGTTCATTTATTGAACAACTTGACATGGGTTCAAGATCGGGGAAGAAGACCCACTGGCCCATCAATGCATTATTCTCCCACTGAGTGCCACAACTCTCCGTGAACCGCAGTAGAATATTCTCTCCCTTGCCTTTTCTATATGAGGAAATGACGAAATTACTGAAGGATGATTCATTCAGAAGAGCGTGCTCTCTCGGTCCGGTCATGGACTCGGCGATCCCTGGACCAACTACGCTCGCTATCAATTCGTCCCAATTTGACAGGAAAAACACTTGTGTAGACCATGGTTCATGGATCGTTACGGAACTCACGTAGAACCCGCATGATTAACAGACAATGGAGTCGGATGCTAGGTAGCTTTTGGGTCTATCCATGTAAAGTAATCTGCTAAAGATGATCCCAAGATTCACCCTCACGCCTCCCCTCAGAATTATACGTAAGAAAGAAGACATTTACTATCAGCAGCTGCGGTAGATTATTTCCACAGTTATGATGAACTTTGTGCCTCGCGCATGCAATATTTCAATTCTACATCCTCGAATATCGCAGTTTCTTCCCAAAAAATTAAGAAAGTCAAAACAATCTTTCCTTCTATCTTGTTTCCTTCTCAGCTTGGCTGGTTGCAGCTTCACTTGCTTGAGGGGTCACGGCGGCGAAATCCATCAAGCTGGCAGCTACTGCAGCATTGAAGTCCTCTAATTCCATAGCAGAAAGAGTTTGATCAGTTTGATCGCTTCTTTGAGGAGGAGGAGGAGGAGGTTGTGTTGTATTGCAAGACTTTATTATCCTCTCAGCATCTTCAGGGGATAGCCACTGGCCGTAGCCACTGGGAGCTTCGGATGACGAAATTGGGCACTCCCTCGGGAAATTCCCCCTCACTAGGAAAATGCTCCACCCAAAGCCTTTGAGAGAGTCCAAATAGGCAGAGAGATAGAACTTGGAGAGATGCTGTGGCGCTGCATATAGGCTGTCGAAGTTGTACCACTCTCCATTCACTTTCCTAATGCAGAACCAGTGGTCCTGCAAATGGCATATGAAGGCATTTTCCAGCTCCGGATCTATCTGCGCCGGCTCGGCGACTGGTGAGTTCAGGGGGATGACCTGCAGGTCCCACACCTCTAAAGCCTTTTCCAAAACCTGCAACCAAAGATTTGTGTAATAGTTACTTACCCATGAGCGCATTTAAGAGTAGTATCAGGTATACATCATATAAGACTGTCCAAACGAAAATATCCAACAAGTCAAAACAACCTATAAGTAACTATTCGCAGACAAATCCTGTCCAAATTATTAGAAAAGGTAAGCGCATCTCCCTCAGATTCCAACTGGAATTTCAGTAGGAAATAAAAGAGAGGAGGGAGGGAGAGGAAGGAAACGCAAGGACAGAAGGAAAGATGTGGTGGGGTTCACCTTTAAGTTAAAAAATGAGACATTGTGAAATCTTATTGACTATAGGCAACTCTGAATAAGTAACCCATGAACTCTTTTGACGATCACCTTTGGAAACAACAAAGAATCAGCAAGGCAAATATTACCACCTTAAGCTACACATTCAATCACTCAAATGCAGGAATCCTCTTAACAGCATTGCATGCACAAATCAGTAGAGAGAGAAAGAGAGAGGCATCACGGTAAAACAAGGAACAGTATCTCAATTTCATCGATATCTATTTCTAGTAAAAGTTCTCTTCTAAGTGCCTCACAATATAGCTATACCGCCTAGCTCATTGATAAATGAGCAAACGCTACAAGTGTTAAAATCTTTTCCTGAGCCAGGGGAAACAGAAAATAAGGATCACTGTCGGCATGCATTAACTAAAAACAAGAACTTGTCAGATACTTACGAGTTAAACTACTTGCTCAAAGCTGCTGAAAGAGACTATCATCGACTCAAAGCTACTATAAAGATGTCCACAGCATTTTTTCCTAATATTCATGGAATTCCATGACATGACCTCCACCATATCAGAATCAAAGCACCAAATATTCTTAATTGACAAAAAAGGTTGAAGAAAACTTCTGAATTCGTAGCAATAGTACTACCAAGCAGATCAGAGTTAGTTTACTAGTACACCTATACTAAGTCACACATGATGATCAGTCGGTCTTATGCGCTCAAATTTCAAATGCTCCCTCCCTCCCTCCACCTATACTAAGTCACACATGATGATCGGTCGGTCTTATGCACTCAAATTTCAAATGCTCCCTCCCTCCCTCCCTCCCTCCTAAGTCACACATGATGATCAGTCGGTCTTATGCGCTCAAATTTCAAATGCTCCCTCCCTCCCTCCCTCCCTCCCTCCCTCCCTCCTAAGTCACACATGATGATCAGTCAGTCTTATGCGCTCAAATTTCAAATGCTCCCTCCCTCCCTCCACCTATACTAAGTCACACATGATGATCAGTCGGTCTTATGCGCTCAAATTTCAAATGCTCCCTCCCTCCCTCCCTCAGTTTGTCAATACCATACAAATAAATTTGTTCAACTACCAAAATGCTTCTCCTCTTCCGGTAATGTGGAACTTAAGCAAGTATTCATTTGCACTTATTTTGCCCAACAATATGTAGGCAATTGTACAATTCAATATATGGTTTGTGAAGAAAAAAAGAGGAAAAACTGGAGAAAGGACTCTCAAGATGCTTTAAACCACCTAACAAGCCCAAGTGATTAATTTCTGCAAATTATCTATCACAGAAGGATCGTTAATCTAACTGAAGCACAAAACTCTAGTCAACCTTATAAATGTTGCATGCATAACAAACAGGGCAAAATTCCAGGAATAAAAAAGACTTCATACAAGTTGCAATTCAAAGAAAGACAAAACAATAATTACTTGCATCATATTGGACAGGATGCGCAGCCTGCACAAGAGCACTGGCATATTGCGCTGTAAGGCAGATGCGTAAAACCATAAAAAACCAAATAATGCTTGCTTGTGCAGATGAGAATATGTGCCTAAATGCAGAACTAGAGCTATATATGCAACAACCATGTCATGCAGAAAGTAGTGACATCAATTAACACTGCACAAAATCAGAATCCAAAGGCAGAGGTGCGGTTAATGTGTACCATCATGTTTGAACCATTGTACATGAATTATTGCTCTAATTGCAGGGCCAGGAAGCTCACACTTCCATTGGAAGTTGGAAGCATACACTCTAAATACTTGACCCAAATTCATAAATTGTTTTAAGAACCAGAACAATGTAAGTGCAAGCGCCCAGATGAACGTTTTACGGTGCAAAGATTGGTCAGCCAGTTCTCAAGTATATGGAATTTGTTATCAACTACCCTTAGGGCACTAATTAAGCTTTATTCAATGTATTTGCAGTATGCCCACATTCAAGATTGGTGTCAAGTGTACATCATATAAGATTGTCCAAACGAAAAATCAAATGAGTCGAAACAACCTATAACTATTTACAGACAAATCCTTTCCCAATAATCAGAAAAGGTCAGCACATCTTCCTCAGAATCCAACTGGAATATCAGGAGGAAAGAAAAGAGAGGAGGAAGGAGGTTCCGGAAACGAAAGGACAGAAGGAAAGAAGGGGTGGGGTTCACCTTTAAATTTAAAATGAGACGTTACAAAACCTTGTTGTCTATAGGCAACTCTGAAGAAATGACTCATGATGAACTCCTTTGACGATCACTTTTACAAACAACAAAGAATCAGCAATGCAACTATTACCACTTTAATCTTCACATTCAATCACTCAAATGCAGGAGTTCTCTTGGCAACATCGTTATCGTATGTACAAATCAAGAGATAGTCGTATGTCCTATCATTTCTCCAAATGTTCCCACGAGAGAGAAAGAGAGGCATCATAGTTAAAAAAATAACACTATCTCAATTCCATCAATAAAAGATCTTGTCAGATTACTTACGCATTAAATTACTGGTTCAAAAAGCTGCCCAAAGAGATGATCATTTACTCAAAGCTAGTATTGCGATGTCCACAGCATCTTTTTACTAATATTCATGAAATCAATTGCACAAAACCTCAACTATATCAAGATAAAAGCAACAAGAATTCTTAGTTGATAAAAACAAAAATTGATAAAAACTTCAGAATTGGTAGCAATAGAACTATCGAGCAGATCAGAGTTAAATCACAAGTACACCTATAGTAAGTCAAACATGATGATCAGTCAGTCTATCCTAATGAAGAAAAAAGCAACTTTCTTCTATGTCTCAGATTTCAAATGCTCTCTCTCTCTCTCTCTCTCTCTCTCTCTCTCTCTCTCTCTCTCTCTCTCTCTCTCTCTCTCATAATGACACCTGTCTTTCCTCACGATATTCATATATAATTTGACAAATACGCTCGTTTTCTTTTTCCAGGAAAATAAACTGTCCCTTTTCTCTCAGACTGACTGACATTAATGAGGAGTTCCCCAATCTTCTGCACGAAATTCAGTTACTTTTGAATTTATACCCACAGCTTCTTCACGAGATGCACCGCTTGAGTTTGTTAGTGCCATACAAATAAATATACTCAACTACCGATATGTGTCTTCTCTTCTGATAATGTAGAACTTAAGCAACTATCTTCATTTGCACTTCTTTTGCCCAACAATATGTAGAGAATCTTATAGTTCAATATATGGTTTTTTTTTTGGTAAGGTATAGTTCAATATATGGTTTGTGAGGGCAATAAGAGAAAAAATTGGGAAAGGACTCTTGGGATGCTTTAAACCACCAAACAAGCCCAAGTGATTAATTTCTGTAGATATCTATCACCAAAGGATTGTTATTCTAACTGAAGCACAAAACACTAGTCAACCTTACAAATGCCACATGCACAACAAACAGGGGTGGAATTCCAGGAATAAAAAGGACGGCATATAAGTTGCATTCCAAAGAAAGACGAACGAATAATAATTAACATAAAAATTGGACAGGTTGCACAGCCAGCACAAGAGCATACGCGTGCGTACATGAACCGCACTCTAAGACAGATGTATGCAACCATAAATAACCAAAGAATGCTTTCTTGTGCATATGAGAATATGTGCCTAAAGGCGGAACTAGAGCTATAAATTCCACAACCATAAAGTTGTCGCTCGCAATTTCTTGGGCAATTTGAATTAGTATATCCTTAAAAAAATCCTATGCTTTTCCCATGTTTACTTGTCAACAAACCCATATTTTCAAAGTGTCATCATATAAGTCTATAAGACAGCATATTAAACATAACCTGTCAAAACATCCACATCATCCACCGAGTTAAGTTGCATATCTAGTCGTTAGGCATTGAAACCTTAACTTTTGTTCGGGAGATAGGAGAGGCTAGGAATGGGGTCGGAGAAGAAAATTTTACACTTGCCTTCCAATTCACTCTCGCATAAAGTTCAATTTTCTTTTCAAAATCTTCCACGCCCACCTCTCATTTTCCCTCTCCTCTCTCTCCCAAACAAAGCCTAAATATAATCTAAAAGGTAAGGCAAAGAGTCATGCAATTCCACGATTTCAATAAATTAGTTCGCTTGTATTCAACTCCTCCACCCCCTATGGATGGACAAAAAACGATAAGACAACAAACAATTGTGTAGACTTCCGAAACAAAATAAAATTTTTATTTTTCTTTGATTTGACAATTTTACAATTGCATGAGGAGCATTTAGATTTATGTATAGTCACATTGCAAAGAACGGAGAGAAGCCTGCTATTAAGCAATTGATGAGCAAGATACTGCCATTTCTTGATTTTTGGAAGTTCTCCGCATTATGTTGATACATTGAGGCGTATTCTTCCATCCAAAGACAAATATATTTTATAGCCATTCTATACTTGACTTAGTTCTGATTTAGTGAAGTGCACATTTTCAATTTTGCCCCAAAATCTAGGACAGCAAGTGTATTAGTGTTGTCACGTACCAAAATTTTTCTTCGGCACGATCGTCAAATATAGCACCCATTTCACCGATACCAACAATTTCACGGACTAGCTTACAAGCATTGGAAGTGCGAATCTAGGAGCCCGATACACCATGTGCTCGATATAACACGGATACGGCCAAAAAACATTTATATCCACGATACGGAGAACGGCACGCACAAGACATTAATTAGTTACTAGGATGATCTAAACGATCCAAACTACCGACATATGGGCGCACTTGCAGAATAAGACATTCCGAGCGGCCGGAAACTAATTACTTGCCACAGGACTGACATCTGCATGAATAATCACCCTCACACTCATCCCGCAGTTGAAAACCACGAAAGCTCCATCTATACCGAAAGGAGCACTAACAAGGGATTTCCAACGCGATCACAAACCAACCACCTGTTCATCCGTCATGCAGTGAGAGCTCTAACGAACAAAGACAACTCAACCGATCGATATCATTCCCAAGAGCCCCGTCTGAGAATCACGGTCCAGAGGAGCTCGATTTCGGGAGGGGGAGGGAGAAGAGGAGGAGGGAGCGAACCTGGATACTGAAATCGCCGTCCAGGGAGACGTTGTGGGACTCCTGGGAGAGGAAGTCGCCGCCGCCCTGGGGCATCATGACCTGGCGCTCCTTGCGGTCGAGATCGGAGGCGAGGGCGGCCAGGTCGAACTCGGAGAAGAAGGGGCCCTGGAGGACGGTGTTGACGCAGTGCACCGCGCACAGCTTCGACTCCTGCACCTCGTGGTACAGCATCCCCCCGTTGCTCGCTCCCTCCATTTCCGCAAGAACCAATCGGGGGACGAAGAATCGAACGAAACCCTAGCGGATTGGATTTGGATTCGGGGGAAACTCTCGAATGCGACTGCGATTTGATGCGAAGCTGATCGGCGATTTTGTTCTTTTGGGGGAGTATTTATCGTCAACGATCAATTCGATTCCTTCCTTTCCCCCGATTTTTTTCCCCCACCGGGACGTCGCGGACCGCGGGTCGGCACGTGCCGGGCACGTGCCCGAGGCAACAGTCCCTCCTCTGGTCGGGTCGGGTCGGGTCGGTCCTTGGCCGGTCGGTCGCTTAATGGAGGGAATCGCTTGTCGCTCGTTGTTGCTCCTCCGACTTTGGTCTTTTCCAAAGTGGCACGCCATTCTTTCCTTCCGTTCTTTCTTTCTTCGCTTGTGAATTTCGCTCGATACTTTTCGTCCCCAAAAAAATATCCTATCTTAGTCTGGTTCGCGTGTAATCATGGATCGGGACGGGCCCAGGGTCGATACCGACTCATCTAGTGCGAGAAGGGCCAGGAGACTGGTACCACCGGATGCGCATGCATCGTACGGGAACATGCTAGAAGAAAGAAAATGCGACGAAATGATATTTTCTAATTTGAAATCGAGATATCAAGCGTGGAGTCAAATCGTTATTGTATTCACATAGTAGTTCGGGTTGCGGGTGGTGCGCAAGTTTGTTGTTCTTTCTTCCGGTGATCTTTCCATTCACGTGTTGATTGTTCAGTTCATCCTCTTTTATTTCTGTTTCGGACAAAAGTGAGAGACAATCGAAGCTTCAAAAGTAGTATCAAGAACTGTTTACTTCATAGCAGTTCTCGCAAGAGCTTTCTGGTTTTAGAAGATGATCAAGTAATCACCATTATTATCTCTCAGTCTTCCGGTTGATGAAAGGATCATATCATAGAATTACATCCCCACTGAAATGTACCGTGCCTGGAATATTAAGCGAATCGTACTCTTCACACTACGTTTGGTAGATGACATTAAGAAGGAAGAGAGAGGTCTCTATACAATTAATTTGGTTGGAGTGAACGAGTGATTTAAAGGGGAAAAAAAGGATAAAAATTTGGAGGGATTGAGATATAGCGTTAGTTTAAATGCTGGCGAGGGGAAGAATTTTCAACTCTGGCCGTTTGGTAACTTGCCTAATAGTAAAAATTTCTGTTTTTTTGTTCCCAGAAATAGTTTGGGAACAGAAATGCGTTTGGTAAACTTTTTGTTCCCGAACACATTTTTGCAAAAATTTGTGCCGAGAAACAGTTTTGGAAGAGAAACAAAAAATAAAAAAAAGTTGCTTCTTGTTTCTCGGCACAATTTTGAGAATCAGTTTTTTTCTTCTTTTTCTTTTTTTTGTTTTCTTCTTTTTGTGTTGCTCTTCTTGGGCTGTGGTCGATCGCCGGCCGCCGGTGGCCGGCCATAGCCCAGGGCCGGCGAAGGCGTCACGGCCCTCGCCGGCCGCCGGCGGAGGCGAGGGTCCCCCTTGCCGGCGAGGGCGAGGCGGCTCGCCGTCGGTCATGGCGAGGTTGGCCTCGCCCAAATCGGGTGAGGCCGAGCCTCGCCGTGGGTCGCGACGGCAAGGCTCGGCCTCGCCAAATCTGGGCAAGGCCTACCTCGCCGTGGGTCGCAATGGCGAGGCCGGCGGCGGCCAGGGCCGCGACGCCCTGGCCTGTGGCCAGTCGCCGACGTCGGCGACCGGCCATGGCCAAAGAAGGAAGGATAGAAAGAAAAAAAATATTAAACAATTTAAAATATTATTAATAAAAAAAAATTTGTGTAGTTACCAAATGTATTTCTGTTCTTTTCTATCCCAGGAATAGAAATTTTGGACAATTACCAAACGCCTTCAAATACTTAGAAATTGTTTCTAGGCACAGAATAAAAAAGAACCATTTCTAAATAGAAATAGTTTCCCGGCATAGAAATATTGTCATGCGCACCCTTAATTGTCATACGGTATGAAATTCTATTGAATTTAATAAGAGATAGAGTGCGATAAATAATATGACTAGATTTAGCATTTAATGTAAGTCTTCTCATTTACTGTTTTTGTGTGATTTCTCGATTGTATTGAAGGAATCGGTGTTGTAGCAAAAGTCGAATCTGTAATCACAAAACCCGTCGGAGGCCGAGGTGGAGATGTTGTAATCCGTCGAGTAAACAAACACTTTCATCTTACATCAAATTTCTGGAAAATTTCATTGCATTAGAGCTAGCTGCTACAATTCGACAGGACAAGCAATGAGACAAAAATGATGGGTATACAGTTTCAATTGAGTTAGTCATAACACTAAACTGGACTTCTCATCACAGTCAGATTTACTTCACCGGCGGTGAACACATGCGCTCTACAAGGTCTTCAAGCTGGTGATTGAGAGCCCATCACGAGCATGATTGGAGGAAAGATTCATAAGATTAGCACTGAACAGATCGGATAAAAATTCAAGTGTTCTCCAAGTCATCGTTCAAAGTGTGCGAGGAGGAACAAAAATGAAGAGGTTCGCAACAGATCCCCATTATGCACTGCACAGTGCCGAAATAACAAAGCCTATTACTTCGACTCGTGATTGAAAGACGATCTCATTGAATCATAAGAAAATCAGTTTGAGAACTCATGCACTACAATTGCTTCTTAACCGGCAAAAGCCCGAACTTTTTTTGGCAAAATCTGTGCAAGCTATGACTCATACAGAATGCCGAATCATTTGGGTATTTTTTTTCTGCTCCAGTACAATAAGCGGTTAAAGATGCACCTACCAGAAAGAAATCTTTCGTGAAGAGGAAACCTCCTGGAATTCCAGGATAAATGTGTAGATCGATCTCCTCAGGAAATGTTTAAGGTAAATTAAAAATCCTGTGTAAGTTCTGCAAGAATAGGGCCTCCATTTCCTTATGTTATAGCTCGGAACCATGGGCAAATCTATGTCGCTCTTCTTAGACGAGCAGATCATAGTGGTTTCTACCGCTGTAGAGAAGCTTCACAACTTCCCTCTGTTTTCCCTTTCTTGAACCCTTCCGAAATTCTAATCCATACTCTGCAATGGGGATAAAACCTGAGCCCCATCCGCCCCTTGTATGCTGCGGTATAGTAAAAAACACAGATCCGTCAAGGTTGGCAAATAAAAAGCCGCTTTATCTTCTGTTGCATAAATATACTTGATAATAATTTCAACATCAGAGTATGCCATATAGTTTTTATTGCTCAGAGAAGTCCTGAACACTGTCATATAAGCATCTTGAGATAAGACTTTCAATCTTACTGTCCTAGTGCATTGCATCTTATCCACCGATAATATACCAGTACACGCGCAGATTCAACTTTCAATGCGTCTATATGCGATAACCAACATACTTAAATTCTATAAGCACAACTGATCTAGTCACAACAGAGTGACTGATTGGTGGTACAGCATGAAAACTATTAGAAATTACCATAATGGGAGATGATTATTTTGATAATCCTTTTTCCACTATTATCAGGAAACCAATTCCAAGTCCTCTCCAAGGACCAGGGAACATGCTTGAGTTTTTTATCCACAATAACTCTCAGTCAGCTGAAAATGGCAGATTTGGTCACTTTTCAATGTCAATGAGATCAGTTCTGTTTTTTTTTTTTTTTGTCAGAGTGAGATCAGTTCAAGCACTCTAGATTTTGCTGTTCCTATCTTAACCATTATATTACTTCCATGACAATTAGAGTACCAACTTAAGCCGAGAAGTACTTACTTCGATGACACTATTATATATTGCAATCTCCTATTAAAAGGAGAATTTGGAAATACAATTACTGGGTTTGAGGAATTTTTTTGGCGATAAATGGTTTCTAAATTCAATCTGCTCTACCATCCAACAAATGTGAGAGACCATGTAAGTTTAGAAAAAACTCACCTCATGCTCTGGAATATAAACAACGATTGGCTGCTTGCATAATTTCGAGATGACCTGAAATGAAATTATGATTGGAACTGGTCAGAAGCTCAAGAAGAAATAAAGGGAGTGCTGGTAGCAAATGACACTGTCAAAATGTAGAGAATAAGAAGACAACACCAGCTCCAATTAGCGCTTAAGAAACCTAGAAAACTTTACAGAAACAAAAGACTACTACATTTGTCCCCAGATGATCCATCGTACTGCTCGATTTGAAACCATAGTCAACTCTTAATTCTACCCGAGAGACAAGGAAGAAAAGAAGCCAACCCCTATTATTTCTGTCTTTACCAAGGGCATAGTTGATCAGTTTGCAGTTCTTTGTACAATGAACAAAATAGGGAGACAGATGTAAGCTATACAGAGGAGTAGATTATGTTTAACAAGAATGGAAACAGTTTCCAACCAGCAGCTCTGACTCTCCTCCCCAAAAATCATGTCGGCCAATTCGTTGGCAGTACCTAAAGAAGATTTGGAGAGCATCAATATTATCTCTGTAAAGAATGTGGCAAGACATACATCAATCAAAACATACTAATTAAGCACTTGGAAAGCTACTAAAAAGTGAGATGGAGCACCTTACCGCTTTAAAGACTCGTCCACGGTAATTGCCACCAATGCTTCTTCATATTGACGACGTTCTTCACCAGAGTCGCATATAATTTCTTTAACAGCCATCCGTAATTCATCTGGAATTTGATGTTCATGTGATTGATATGCATTACCCACAATGACAACATGCAAAATAAAAAATCGAACATTGCTATTTTCTGAAGTTTGTAAGCACCTGAGTTTCAACCACTAAGCAAGCATACAACTTTCATCTCAATTAGACAGCATTTGCAAGAAGAAACAGAGTTTTATTTTTTCCTCTGAATCAGTTTTTCTATTTAAAACCAAGAAGGAGAAGGATGTATTCCTTGTTTCTAACCAACAGAGAGATGAGCTCCTGTTTCAAGAACATGCAAGAATGGTCGATGAATCAAGTAATTTTGACATTCAGAAAGAAATGAGAAAGCAGGTTCAAACCCTTTCCCCTTTCCACAGGACTACAAGTAGTGGATTTTACATGACAATGCTCAACTAACCAGGACAACCATGCATAAAAAAAAAAAATTCCCCAGCCATGGTTTCAGGCAGTCCATTAATCAAATATGTTGCAGAGAGAAGATCCTTTGTTCAACTTCTGCTAAGTAGATTCTCTGATAACTGCTCAAGTACCAAGGTAAAAGAATTGAACCATATCCTTGATCTTATTTGCAGGGATCCATTTCAGCAGGTTCCAACTACATACCGTTCTCGCATTAACTTGACTTTAACGAACTTGATTACTACAGAACATCTAACCAATTAGGCTATATATTTATATACAGCATAAAAAAAGTTTCTCCCTTGTTTGACAGATCTTGCACCACAATGACCGAATAACAGTATGACGAAATCCAAGACAAGTAATCAAAGTGACTATGGCTAAACTAGACGAACGCCAGAAATTATATCAGGGAAATGCTTGGCAGGAAGAAAAAGTATTGGAAATGTTTAAATAGAAAAAGAATTGTGATCCTGTTATTATTAGATCATGGTATACCATAGGCTCAGTTCTATTCCAGCATCTACATAGTTGATGGTGGAGATAGACCATTGAGAAATGATATCCTAAAAAAAATTAATATTGCTACTAGCACGATGAATATACCTGCATCTTCTCTCTCTTCTCGTGGGTTAAGGCCTATACCTTTGTTGAAGGCCATTCCCTTGACCTGATATTATCAGTAGCAGAAGTTATTTTGAGGCGAGGTCAAGTTCTTTTAGTCCAACCCAAGTCAATTTATAAGATATGAGCAGAAACAACATTGGAGGAGACTGGAGAGGAAAGAGCACTTGAGTGACATAGCAGCTATGGTCCATGGGAATCATAACCGCCAGTCAAAAATTATGGTTCAGGATACGATTGACTAATATTCTTGACTAGTAAGGCGTTGCCTACATTTAAATGCCAATGGACTCACATTGAAATTCTCTAACAAGAAAAATCAAGAAACTAATAACTTTCACAAGCTAGCTCAGAATCTTTTCGGCCATTCTAGCAACACTTTGAGAATTACAGGCGGCTAATATAGGAAGAAACCTCTCAGAATGGATATCCGGCCATGATGCACTTTTAAAAATTATTTACCAAGTCCCAAGTGTCCTAAATGTTGGAGCAGACCGCTCGGTTCAATCAGTTGGACTATGCCTTGGATTGAGGTCTAACTTGGCTTGGATGATCAAACCTTTAACGGCGGAAAAGAGGATTAAATCAACACTGACCCAATCAAATTGAACCAGTAATATCAGAGAGTTCAACCGGTTCACTTGGTTGCTTTTTCTAGAAGGAATTACAGTGTGGTGACCATGCTTTGAACCGCAGGCTTTAAAGCCCCAGGACATGCCACGGAGGCTTAAGTCCCACTATGATGCAGTAGAATCAAGGTATTCACAGAGAAGGACAGAAAACGGCGATCCCATTGAAGCTGGAAATGAGATAATTGAATCTCTAGCGTCTATAAAGAAACAATCTGTAGCAATCAACAAAAGACGACGGCTTCCAATAAGGATCTAGGACTATTTACAAATGACAACTTATCAAACATCCACCGCGAATTTATCAGCTAATATGCCCATACCGGTCACTCGGAAAAAGAAATGTAGCCTTTTAGCTCTATAATGAGAAGGTGTTTCGCTATTAACTACGGCCAAAATTCTCGACGAAGCTGCCCATTCAAACCACAGCACAATAAAAGATAGCCTTGAAACCCTCTGAGAAGTTGACATTACCAGGGCACGGAACATACATCGTCCATCTCCGGTGACTTTCTGCACCGAGTAATGCTCGACTTTCTTCGCCGCCGGCGGTGGCGATCCTCCTCGCCTGGGAGAAAAAAGAAAAAAAAGAGGCAACAAAACGGCACGAATCACGAACGCACGCACGCAGACTCAAATCCTACACCCGACCGATTACGAATCGAACAAAAAGCAAGCTCCAACAAGACGCAATCGCGACACGAAACACGCACGGGCGCGCAATCTCGACCCTATGAAAAAGGCCAGAGCGCCTAACAAAAAAAAAGACCGTACGCGGACGATGCGATCCTCGCGAAGAACAGGCGGCCGCCCCGCGCCGCGAGCTCCAGCGGCGGCGGTGCGGGAAGGCGGGGAGCCAAGATCGAAGGGGCCGGCGAGGAGAGGAGCTCGAACCTCGCGGTGCCGTCCCGGAGCTGCTCGAGGACGCTCCCTGCCCCACCGCAGCACAAGAAAAAAACTCGATTTCAGCCATGACCGGAAGAGGAGGAGGAGGAGGACCCCCGGTCGCAGGGAGATTGACCGGAGGGCGAAGCTTCCGGAGAAGAAGGGAAGCAGAAACGCGAGAGAGATCGAGAGAGAGGAGGTCGGGATTCACCATTGAGAGGCTTCTCCGCCATGGAAGACGAGCGACTGCGGAAGTGAAGAAGAAGTAAGCGGATAATGCTGCTGGATGCTTTGCGAAGGTGAGGGGAGGAAGCCGTTTCGTTCCGAAATGGAGGCAACAAGGCTTCTTTTGTTTTCTATGGGTTTTTATACCCTTTTAATTCATTCTTCTCCTATGATACAAATAAGGTTCAATATCACGAAAAACCTCGAATTAATAGACTTTTGACAAATTTATTCTAAATTAAAATCATAAGGTGTACCGAATTTATCTTAAGCTAATTTTTTGACCATCAAAAATCTTAATTTGGTATATTTATGACAAATTAACCATCCGTTAAATAAATCTAGAAACTAAGGTTGCGAACGGTAACCATTCTGTTTCTCTATTTCTGTTTCAGAAATAGGTTTGGAACATAAATGTGTTTGGTAACGAAATTCCAATTTCTATTTCTGGAATAAATTTTTATTATAGAAATAGGTTTGGAATAGAAATCAGAAATTAAAATTTTTTGCTTCTCTATTTCTGGAAGAGAAATGAGAAACAAAATTTTTTTGTTCTTCTCATCACTTTCCCTCACTACTAGCCGGTCGCTCACCCGCCGCCCATAACCGGCCGCGCCACCCGTCGACCGCCGCTACCCGTCTCCGGCTGCCGCCGCCACCGGTCACCATATCCTGCCACTGCCTACCCTCCTCCCCCTACCGGCGGCCTACGATCGCCACCCACCACCAACCACCGTCTCCCGCCGCCACCCGCCTCCCACCCCCGGCCTCCCTCCTCCCACCACCGCCGCCCGCCGTAGGCCGGCCACCGTCTCCTGCCTCCCACCCCCGGCCTCTCTCCACCGCCAACCGCCGTCCACCGGCCACCATCTCCCACCACCGGTCGCCCTCCTCCCACCGCCACCTGCCTCCCACCGCCGGCCGCCGTGGGCCGCCGACCGCCGTGGGCCGCCATCCACAGGCCACCGTCTCCCACCGCCGGTCGCCCTCTTTTGGCCGCCACCCACCTCTCATCGCTGGCCACCGTTGGCCGCCGCCCGCGGTCCATCGGCCACCATCTCCCACCGTCGGCCATCGTCCTCCCACCGCCGCCCGCCTCCCACTGCCGGCCACCGTCTCCTGCCGCCACCCGCCCTCCTCCCGCCACCATCCACCGCCCGTCGACCGCTTGCCGACCACCCGAGAAGAAGAAATTTTGTGCCATTATCAAACAAATTTCTGTTTCTGGAACAGAAATTTTGTGTCGTTATCAAACGTGTTTTTTTGCTAAGAAACTCCTCTAGGAACAGAAATAGAAAAGTCAATTTCTGGCCAGAAATTAATTTCTGAAATAGAATGGTTACCATTCGCAGCCTAATACACCTATGACAAATGGAGGAGGGTAAAATTTCAAATTGATACGTCCGTCAACTAACGCGTGTCATTTAACTAAGCAATTTAACAGTAAATTTTAATGGAAACTGACGAAGAGTAAATTTGTTAAATGTGTATTAGTTTGGGATTTTTGGTGGTCAAAAAATTAGTTTTGGGTAAATTTGTCACAGGTGTACCAGTTTAAGGTTTTTCGTGGTACTAACCCTAGATATAATGGCATCTTTTTATTTTTAATCTTCTCTTTTCATTTTTCATCACTTTGTTTTTTTTTTATCTTAATATTTTATTTTTTTGTCAATTTTAAAATTTTCAACTCACTAGTTAGTTCTAACGCGTAAAAACATGGTTCCATATATATATATATATATATATATCATCAATTTGTGATATATATATTTGTTTAGATAGTCTTTTTTTTTAGGGTTAATACCACGAAAAACTATAAATTGGTACAGTTGTGATAAATTTACTCTAATCTAATTTTTTGACCACTAAAAACCCCATAAACTGATACATCTATAATAAATTTACCCTCCGTTCGTTTCCGTTAAATTTTACCATCAAATTACTGAGTTGGATGACACATGACAGTTGACAGGTGTATCAGTTTGAGGCTTTATCCTCCATTTGTCATAACTGTAGCCGTTTTGTGATTTTTTCTGGTATTACTTTAATTTAACGGAAACTAATGGAGGGCTGTACTAGTTTGGGGTAGATTTGTCATAATTATATCAATTTAAAATTTTTTTGTGGCCAAAAAATTAGTTTGAGGTAAATTTATTACAACTATACCAGTTTAGAATTTTTCGTGATATTAACTCTCTCTTTTTTTTTTAATCATCGCTTGGAATTTAATTTCCTTCAAAATTTCCGAAATCTCCCACAATTTCTTCGTGTATCTATATCATCTACGAAAGTAGTGTGTAAACATTAGCAGGTTTTGTTCTAATGGTTGATTAACCAAGAAAGGCAAGAAAACACCTGTTATTCGAGAAATCAATGCACGAAAGGGAGACTTGATCATGAGTCCGGCGGCCCGCAAGCCCGCCAGGCTTTGACTTGAAGGCGTCCTTTGGACGAGCTCGGGTAAGGGTATTTGATGAGAAAATTCGACCCTACAATTTAAAGCAAATTTAAATTGGGCCTTTGGGCAAAAACTTTCGAGCGAATTCAAGGAGAGGAATGGACGGGGGTGGATGAGTAGATTTTCTGATTGCACTTTCTTCTGTATTTGCTTATTTATTCTATTATTTGGTTGCTTTATGTGTTGCTATTATTACCTAGTTATACGCGCAACTGAAAAACTCCGTTTGTTTTATGAAAAATGAATGACATGAAAAAATATTTTTCTAAAAATAATCGTTTCTATCGCTCAAAAGAAATAGTCAAAGGAAATCGTTTTCGTTACTAACAGCAATTTACGTTTAACCATTTTCGTCGACGATACGAATATTTTTTGTTCATTCACTTTTGTAAGTAATGCAGGCGGTCATTTTAAGGAAAATCGTTAATTTTCAGCGAAACAAACGGACCCGATAAATATTTTCCATCCCAAAGTACAACCGGTTAAGTGAAAGGCTCGGAATTTGTAAAGAAAGTATATAAAACCTCATGCAATTAATAGTATTTTTCTTCTATGGGTCAATACCATGAAAAACTCCAAACTGATACACTTGTGATAAATTTACCACAAACTAAAAATCCCAAACTGGTGCACTCATGATAAATTTACTCTTTATTAATTTCCGTTAAGTTTTACAGTTAAATTGTTAAGTTGGATGACGCATGGCAGTCGACGGGTACACAGGTTTGGGGTTTTACCTTCCGTTTAACATAAGTGTTCCAATTTGTGATTTTTTGTGATATTAATCCAATTTAACGGAAACTAAACGGAGGGTAAATTTATCGCAAGTGCATCGGTTTGCGATTTTTAGTGGTCAAAAAATAAGTTTGTGGTATATTTGTCACATATATACCAGTTCAGGATTTTTGGTGGTCAAAAAATTATTTGTGATAAATTTATTATATGTATATCAGTTTAGAGTTTTTCGTGATAATTTGTGCGATCATCTCTCATTTGTGCAACTCCACTTATCCTCATCAACATAAAAACAGAGATGAACAGACGAAGCATGAGAAACTGCATTGGATTCTGTTTCCCCGAAACAAGTAGTCATGCACGCTGCTGTCGGTGGATGGATTCTCTGGAGGTACGGTTCAGTCTTTTCTGGTGATCAAAAGTCTTTTGGAATGAAGGAAGAGAGAGACCGCAGACGTCTTCGCTTCGCTTCAATGGACAGAGAACGGGACCCGGGGACGACAGATGGCGCCTCCTCCTGATCGGCGTACGTAATATTTTGTGGGATGAGAGGTGACAGCGCCACGTTTTTTCTTCTTCTTCCGTACGAGATAGTTCCCCACAACTTTTGACTTCTTGCTGCCCGGCCCCCCCCCACGTTGGTGATTTTCTTCGTCAACCACGATCGTTTGCTCTTCGCTGTCTTGCCTTTTCACCGTTTTCTTGCTTTCCCATGTAAGTATTTCAGCTTGCCAGCCGGGTCACCCTCCATCTTTAACATCTCAAAACACCGGCTTCTAGTTTGTAGACTCGTTGGAAGATGGATCGCGAATTTCCGACACGGCTACCGCTGTCCGACGGCGATGATGCCGGCGATTGCAGGAGGTCCTTGTGTAATTCTGCCATTCCCGAGCCTTGTCGTGTAGCCTTCGCCACCACTACCACTTTGGGTCCGTCTTCTACCTCGCGATCCCGCTCGAGCAACGCAAGTGAAGACGACAGGGCCGCATATTCGGGGATAGAACCGGTACTGGACTCGGTGGTCAAGGTTTTCACCGTCGTCAGCAGCCCCAACTACTTGCTGCCCTGGCAGAACAAGCCCCCTAGCGATACTTGGGGTTCTGGTGGGTACCCTTCCTCTTGTTCCTGTTTGACCATTGTTGTCTCTCCCATCTAAAATCTATTCTATTTCCCTGCTGACTGAACTGAAGGATTTGTCATTCCTGGGAAAAGAATTATTACCAACGCTCATGTAGTTGCAAACCATACATTCGTCCAAGTGAGAAAGCATGGTTCGCCAACCAAGTTTAAGGCCCATGTCCTTGCTGTTGGTCATGAATGTGACTTGGCCATTCTGGTGGTGGACAGTCAAGAATTCTGGGAGGGCATGAGTTTCTTGGAGTTCGGGGATATCCCGTTCCTGCAAGAAGCTATAGCTGTTGTTGGGTATCCTCAAGGTACTTGCCGCTCAATTCCTGACCTAGATCACACTATTAGTGAGTAACAAGTTAAATCCTACTTCGCTGTAGGTGGGGACAATATTTCCATAACCAAAGGCGTCGTCTCCAGAGTTGAGCCTACTAAATATGCACACGGAGCGACTAAACTTATGGCAATCCAAATTGATGCAGCTATAAACTCGGGAAATAGTGGGGGCCCTGCTCTCATCGGTGATAAAGTTGTCGGTGTAGCTTTCCAGAACCTAACCGATTCTGAGAATATTGGGTGAGTTCTTCTGTTCCTTTTATGGTGAGAACATTGGTCACGCCCTGCATGCCGGACATCTATTGCAATGACCTTGCTTTATTCCCTCTTTTCTCATGTAAGCATTTATTCTGTTAGAACATCCTCATATTCTTAGAACTTAAAAATTATGCTACACCTTTTATCTTGCTGATTTCCAATTCACTCAGTTTGTGTTCTGTGCAGAGCTTCCGTACATGAATAATTTCTTTTTTTGACTTTCCCCCAGACACTTTCAATTTCATTTGAGTAGAATCAGCTGTTTGCTTTTCGATGAGATGAACTTACTTAAACCTTTCATTCCTCTTTGTCCTATTTGATTGTCATCTAGTATGCATCGAGAAGCCTAGACAAAATATGCTTGAGTTGTTGATTCATGCTCCGCTTCTGTATAACTGTACTTGATGAATATTTTCTATTTCACACGATCATGTGGATATCTGTCCTGTTTCAAGGATGGAGAAAGCTATCCACTCAACAGCAAATCATCGACCTTCTTGTATCCTGCCAGTGTTCCTGTGGTTAAAACCCCCCTCTCGGACGTCACTTAAGCAAAAAGTTCCAGTACTGAGGCTTGGCTAGCAGATCACTCTTTGCAACATTAAGGATAGAGCAACTTCTTAGCATGAGCTTCTTATCATATAACCGAGGGTTTGGATTTGCCTCATAGAGTTGCCTTTGCTGTTGCACTCCTTCTAGCTTCATATGCATGGTTGTGTACCTAGAAAGGCATCATGTGGATACTTAATGGATTCTTTTTTTTAATTGCCGTCACAAAACTATATCACTATGAGTACTTCATGCAGATCATCATCATTATATGCCATAGAATAAAGTACGTATATCTTGAAGATCACATCTATATATATCTCAACAACTGAACATGTGAGTGTTTAAAAGATAGTTCTTTCTATCTTGGATTGGTTTTGAAGTCACCATCCTTCTAGTAGCCGAAATAGTGAATGTAGGTGGTTGGAATTGCTAAGAAGTTGTGATCACTATTTTGGAGGTATTTTTTCTTGTATTTCTCATAAATTGTTTCTCTTAGTTCTCTGCTAATTTTTTATCTATGGTTTGTAGATACATAATTCCGGTTCCAGTAATCAAACACTTCATTTCTGGTGTTGAAGAAAGTGGAGAATACCCAGGATTATGCTCCCTTGGCTTGCATTACCAGCCAACTGAAAATTCTCAACTGAGAAACCACTTCGGGATGCTACCAGAAATGACTGGAGTTCTTGTAAACAACATCAAGCCTCTTTCAGATGCTTATAGGATCCTCAAGAAGGATGATATCATCCTTGCGTTTGATGGTGTGCCTGTGGCAAATGACGGAACAAGTATGTTTATACAATTATAGCATTCAGCAGTAGTTTACCATCATGGCAATAGCTGTGAATATATTCGTGTTAATATAATTCATGCTAGTCAAAATACACGGATAGCACGAATTTCATAACCACCCTGGCTTTACTCGTATCCACCCTCAATGGGCCATGCATTTTTTTGGTCTTTGGCATCTCAGTGATTTCATCATTTTGAGTTTGTACTAGTTAGACACGTGTACCTGGCTTTTCGTCTATGTGACACTGGGCTTTTCTAATGGTTTTGGTTTTGAATTTTTTGTTTTTTTGTGCTTTTTTTGGCATGTGTTTTTGTTGAACCTAATGTTCCTCTCACGCGATGCATATTGCAGTTCCTTTCCGGAACAGAGAGCGCATTGCATTTGATCATTTGGCATCCATGAAGAAGCCCAATGAAACGGCCTTAATCAAAGTTCTTCGGGATGGAAAACAGAATGAATTCAGCATAACCCTCCGACCAGTGAGTCATTCTGACATTGTTTTCTTTCGGATGTATGTCTCAGTTATGGCTGTATGATACCACATATTTGTGAGCAGGTACTGTTCATGAATGGCAAAGAAAGTTTAATATCTCCTAACATGTAAAGCCAAATTAAAATAGTGAAAAGTTTGTTCACCTTAGATGATTCTACAGCGAGAAATAGCAGGCGGCTTGATGATCCCCTACTTCATCTTGTGGATTGATGATTTTGGGTTGAGGATGGAGGTTTAGTTTCTTTGATTGGCTAGGAGAAACTATTATTTATGCTTATGATGGAATGATATCATTAACGAGTTTAATAAAATAGAAATCATTCTCATGCAAATACTGAAAGGCGACTGTGAACAACAAGAGGACTATGCTTGGAACTAGAACATTGACAGATCTGGTACTTGCAAAATTTGTTACACTGCTGTTTAAAATGACCTTGGAGCATAGGCATGAATAGATTTAGTCACACTGGGGCATAATGAGGAGCAAAGCTTTTACCACTGAGGTGGTTGGCTGAGTGGTATAAGGCTTACTTCTATCCCAACTTATCCTGTGGCGCACCTATGACGGCCTCACTCAAAATTAGCAAGAGTTACGACTCACACCGAACATTCGGATAGTGTTTTTCATGTTAAAACTTTGTGATTCCTCTCTCTCTCTCTCTCTCTCTCTGTGACAAAGGGGTAGTGGTTTGTTAAGCAACTCTATTTCCATTTAGGGTCTATTTAGTAACGTTTCTGTTCCCGGAACAATTTCTGTTCAGAAATAATTTTTTCTATTTCTATTTCCTAAACGAGTTTTTGAGCAGAAGAATGCGTTTAGGCTGCGCATGGCAACTTGCCAAATAGTGTTTGATTCTGTTCTTTTGTTCCCAGAATCAGTTTGGGAATAGAAATCCGTTTGTTTAATTTTTTGATTCTGGGCACAAATTCTTGCAAATTTGTGCCCAGAATCAGTTTTGGAGCAGAATCAAGAATAAAAAAAAAGTAGCTTCTTGATTCTGGGAACAAAAATGAGAATCAGTTTGAACGCTCCAAGTTCTAGAAGTCCATTGCAATTCTTGATTCCAACATTGCAGAGATCTAACAACACATCCGCTATAAACTTGCTGCTATGCTTCTTCAGAAACCACACAGTCCATTATTGATGATCTTTTGACTCCGAGTGAGATTCATTAAGAACACACCAGTTATTCATAAAAGAAAACCGCTTTCTCATCCTATCCTTTGTGGATAGTGTGTGTTCAAAATGGCCAGTCAGCATATGAAGCTATGCTTTGGTGCATTAGCGGAGAACCACATTAGCTTGTGCCACTCCACTTTCTTTGCTTCTTTGAAGATAAAATAGTCTAATGGACCTTATCAGGCTGTCTTGAGTTGGTAGATAGAGTCACACAAAGATGATTGAATCAAGACCAAATCATCTGATCTTGCCATAGGCCGGTTTAATCTGCTATCTTCAATAACATCAGCATCCCTGGCTTGGAGAGAGAGACCAGAATCATACACAATCCTTCTTCCAAAGATTTCCAACAAAGTGCCCAATGAATGGCATGGATCCTGCAGCAGAAATGTACTCTTTCCATCCCAAATTACATATCGAATAAAAGGTCTAAACTCACGTCTAAGAGTGAGCAATTTCCTCTAAGCATAAGGGGAATTAGCAGAAGAAGCAACCTGCCGTATGCTATTATTCTTCAAGAGATGAGCCTTAACCCAAGCTATCCAAAGGGATCCAGATTCAACCAATAGCAGCCAAATTAACTTCGTGGCTACAGCTTTATTCCAGTGGTATATTTGCTTCAATCCCAATCGCCTTACTTCTTTGGTAGATAAACAACCTCCGATTTCACTTTCAGTCCTCTCAACTTATCATCAGTACCAGTTCAAAGAAAGGAATTACATCACCTCTCTATTGTTTTGATGACTTTTTTTGGGCAAAATAAAGATAAAGCACCAATAAGAGACAATGCTATATAGGACTGAGCTTATTGTGAGTTGTAATCTGCCATCAAAAGACAGCCTCCTAGCAGTCCAGCTTCTTAACCAACTCAAAAGTCTCTCATTTAAGGCTTTGCAATCAGCTTCAGATAGCTTCCCAGATATTAAAGGAAGCCCTAAATACTTAATAGGTGGAGAACCTCTTTTAAAACCACTCAGCCGAACCATCTCCCCCAGATTAGCTTCAGAGACTCCAGAAGTGTACAATGCAGTTTTCATTGGATTCGACTTTAACCTTGAAAGGTTATAGAAGCACTGAAATGTTTCCAATGTCTTCTTTGGAGCCCCATCACTCCCATCAGTTAGTATCAAAATGTCATCAGCAAAACAAAGATGAGTGAGCTTTATTTTTAGCACAAAGGATGAAACTTGAGCTTTCCTCGCTCAGCAGCCTTACATAACACTTCAATCACCATAAGAAAACTCTGGGTCACCTTGCCTGAGATCCTTACCACCTTGAAAATAACCCTCAAGGCCACCATTAATAGTAACAGAGAAGCATGCAGAAGTAATGTAAAATTATTAGGGAAACCCAATGCAGCCATGGCATTGAAATAAAAGGCCAATGCACTTAAGCAAAGGCCTTCTTGACATCTGCGTTTATAACACTTCCAGAAGACAACTTCTTTCTTGTGATAGTGCTTAACATCTTCATGAGCAAGCAAGATATTTTCAGCGATTTGCCTACCCTCAATGAAAGCTCATTGATTCTTATTAACAAAATAAGGGAGCACTATCTTCAATCTTTTGACGAGGATTTTAGTTATGCATTTATAGACAACATCCAGCAGGAGACAGGCTTATAATCAGCCATTTTAGAGGCATTGTGGACTTTAGGGACCAAAGTGATACCAGTAAACTTAGCTGCTTTCACCCATTGTGGACTTTAGGGACCAAAGTGATACCAGTAAACTTAGCTGCTTTCACCCATTGATTATCCTGAAAGAAGCTAAGTATAGCAGCACTAGAATCCCTATCAGTGATAGGCCAAGAATCTTTAAAGAAATGAGAGGAATACGCATCAGGACCAGACCAAAGAGAGGCTTGGATTTCCTCAACTGTAATACGAGCACCCACGAAATGCTGTAGATCATCAGAAAGGTTATAGTCGAGCAATTCCTTCAGCTAAGAGATGATTCCACTGGAGCAATTAACATCTGGAGCACCCAGTAAGTCTTATTAAACGCCCGCGGGTTCTGCCACAATTTCATCATGTTTTTAATATGATACTTCCATAACTGGCCACTGGAGATCTAATAGCATTCCCCAAAGTTCTCACTTTCACCAACTAATGAGAAAAACCAGTATTTGGATCACCAAGCTTTAGCCAGGTAATTCTAGATTTTTGTTTATAGAAAGCTTCCTCGGCTTGCTGCAGATGCCCCAATTCAAGTCTGATTTTCTGCTCATCCTCAGTTAAACTCTCAGAGTGATTACTCCTAAGAGCATGCTGGACAGCAGCAAGCTCAAGCTTTTTCATTTCCACTTCGCAGGCACAGAACCAAAAAAACCTCTTTTTTAATGAGCAATGAGCAATACGTTGGATATGCAGTCACCACTTTATTCCAATCAGAATGCACAATTCCCTTATACTCATGATATTTCCAGAAGTGTTTGAAAGATTTCTTGGATTTAACTTCATCGATCTCTAACTGAAGTAGAGCATAAGAATGATCAAAATAACTTGCTACCCTCCAAGGCTCGCCCTCATGGGATAATTCTGTCATTCTTTGCATTTCACATCAGCCCATTCTAACTGCATAGCATGGAGCAATGATGGATGTACTCAGTAGCCCCTACAGTTACCACCTGTTTGTGTACTAAGTATATGTTGATTGATCTTTGTATATATATATATGTGTGTGTGTGTGTGTGTGTGTGTGTGTGTGTGTTGAGTGTCTTGAATTCTGTTTTGGGTATTTGACCCAAATTGAGTTTTGATACCCGAAATGAAAGTTGTGGTGATCCGACTTGAGAAAAAATAAATGGAGGTTTACCGAAGCCCTCTTCTACCAACACTGGAGCAGTATAAATATTGTTTTTCTCTAGTTATTAGATTTAGAAGTAGAGGCAGAAAAAGTTTTAAGGTTTTACAAGCCACCTTTTGTAATTCTTGAATTTCCAAAGTGGATTTTGTTTCTCCTCTTCCCATGGTTTTTCTGGCAAGGGTTTTCCACGTAAATCTGTGTGTTCTTTTATTATTCTCAGTTTCAATTTCGTTGTAGTTTCCACTTTGGTCATGACATGCTTGCCTTGTTAGCAAAGAGAGAATTTAGGAAGACTGTTACAGATGCTAACATTTGAAAAATAATGGATTTCGCAGTTGCAACATTTAGTTCCAGTGCATCAGTTTGACAAGCTTCCAAGTTATTACATATTTGCGGGTCTGATATTCATTCCACTCACCCAACCCTTCCTTGACGAATATGGTGAAAACTGGTATTATTACACATCGCTTCGACGGTTGCGTGAACGTGCACTAAGGGAACTTCCAAGAAATGCTGGCGAACAACTTGTTATTCTTTCACAGGTTTGTATTCTTTCACATTCTACTAGAGGCTGTTGACTCCTTTTATCAGCAGTAAGTTTTTGTTAGATAGGATGATCGAGAACCTGTGTTTGATTAAAAGCTATGAGGGACGTATATGCTGAACTCAATGAATGTTGTAAGTGATATGAGAAGCCTTTCTTTGAGTCTGATACTTTGTCATTGTGACTGCAAGATGTAATACTGGTTGGGATCCATGCTCCCTTTCATTATGCGCAAGAGGTGGCAGTGGGGGGAATAGCCAGATATCTCAAACTATTATAATGTCCCAAAAAAATGTATCTGTTGAGATTATTATAGGACATGAAAGAAGACTAGAAAGGTAAGTCTAAAGGCTATATTTGAATTACTAACAAAATGCTGACTGCCACAGGTCCTCATGGATGACATCAATGCGGGGTACGGATGTCTTGCAAAATTACAGGTACCTGCATCCTGGGATTGATGAATTTCATTATTGAACTTGGGTTTTAAAAAAACAGAGGAAATTTCCCCGGGGTCACTTCAAGAAATTGGAAGGGTAGAATTCAACGGTTATGGTTTCTTTGTAACGCGTACAGTCAATCTCGCCATTTTAATAGTAGTACCGACCAATTGGAAAAAAATGAAGGTAGAAAAGAAAATCAAAACAAGCATTATGAAGAAAATCAGTGCTGCCAATTTTGAGCCCGGCCAACTTACAAATTGCTCCGGGGTATCAATTTTAAGCCGATATGCATCTGATCTCAGTGGGTTATGGCCGCTGGTTTCTTCTCCACTAGGAAGTTTGTCCTGGTTTTTTGTGAGTCTTGAGTATTAACTATTACTCTTATGTTGGGGTTGACAGGTGAGGAAGGTGAATGGAATTGAAATTGAAAATTTGAGCCATCTGTACCGGCTTGTGGAGCACCACAACGGCGACAGCATACGATTTGATTTGGAAGATGAGAAGGTAATTATATTCGACTATCGTGAGGCTAAAATTGCCACCTCTGCAATTCTGAAGCGCCATGGGATACCCTCCGCTGCGTCGACCGATCTCATTGATGAACAAAACAGCGAGGAAGACTTGGCTTGCCCCATCTAAACATTCTCTTGAGGCTTTATATAGCGCACTTAGGGTGTGCATGGTTCGGCTTTTCATTGGAATAAAAAGACGGTTTGGTAAACTGTAACTGTAATTGAAAAGTGCCGTGACTCTGGAGAAATGTTGTTTGGTAAATATATATTTGAAAAGGCTTTTGGTATTATCAATTTAAGTATTTTAATTTACTTTGTTCAAAATTGAAAAAAAAAATAATGATTGTAATTTTTATATTTTCTTGTTGAGAATAACGTAAAACAATCATATTAACAAATTTATAAATAAAAAAAATCACACATTAAAGTGGATCTTTCTCAATTAAAAAGAGAGTAATTTCATTATAATAGACATGATCACATATGTTTCGAAAAAAGAAATATGTTATCCTTAAATATTACAAATCTCTTCAAATATTTATTAAATTCATGGCTATTTGATCACGTAAATGTGTTATGTCAGGAGATACATCATCATTTGAAGCACTCGCCCCTTTATTTACATCATCAGAGTCAACTGAATATATATAATTGGTGATCTCTTATCTTCAGCGTTATACTTAACGAATTTACTCTTTCAATAGAGCACTTCTTTGAACAAAAAAAATTTGAGCAATTCAAAACAATCACGTTCAATTTTGCTCTGCAAAATGACGCACAAAATATGCGCGCATCTGAAGCATCGTATTCACAATGCTTTTACATTCAAATTAAATGTGAAAACAATGTTCAGCCGCACTCAGAAAATACCATCAAGATACTCACAGCCACACACCTCACACGTGTCCTCTTGCACCTCGACATCTTTATTCTAAACAATTAGTAAAACAAGTACACAAAAAAAAATAAAAAGAGCAAAGCATTCCAAACTTGCTGAAGATCACATCTAGCAAAGCCCATAGAAAATGAATTTCTTCCATAGAGGACCAATTCCATCTAGGGAAGAGCGGTTCCAGGTCCGGTCCGGTCCAACCTAAGAACCGGGAACCGGACCGATGATTTGGTTCGGTTTCAATGGGACCAATCACTTATTGGTAAATGCAAATGAAAATTGGGAAAATTAGATTAAGCTTTCTATTTTTTTCAAATAATTTAAAAAGTAAATAAATAAATATATATATATGAAAAAATTAGAAAAATATATATATTTATCGGTCCGGTCCGGTCCAGTCCGGTTCCCATCCTAGAACCGGAAACCGGTTCCAATTTTAGGAACCGGAAACTAGATCGATATTCCCGAGAACCGAAACAAACAGGTTGGTCCGGTCTGATCCGGTCCGATTCCGATTTGGGCGGTCCATCTTGCTCACCCTAATTCCATCCCTTTTGAATGATTATATGCTCCTTGAGATCAACTATTAGAACGCACGTCAAGCTAGACTTGTGGATACGCAGACTTCTTGACTCGTAGAGATACCCTTCTAGTTTTGTCGTCGCTGGCGCCACCGCACACCGCAACAAAAATCACAATCCTCAACTTCCCAAAACCGTTATAAGAGACGTCGAAGGCTCTTGGATTCAATCTGCCAAAACCGCCCACTCCAAAGCATAAATGGTGGCATTACACAGAAACCTTCTCTGTTGCAAGATTCACCATTGAGAGGCTTCTCCGCCATCGAAGTCGAGCAACTGCGGAAGTGAAGAAGAAGAACTGGATAATGCTGCTGAATGCTTTGCGTTCTGAAATGGAGGTCCGAACAAGGCTTTTAGTCCTTAATTTCTATGGCTCTTAATACTTTTGAAGTATTGGACCAGCTTTTTTGGGTCTGGTTCCTCAGGAACTGGATTAGGAACACAGGGTTCTATCATAAAGATAGTAGGAAAGATGGAAGGAGTTTCTTCCTTCTCTTTGCGGAATTTGATGGTTACAGTACCATCTCTTTGTCTGACAAATTCAGAGTCTGAAGACTGGAGAGGTTGGCTAATTTGGTGGAGCTTTTCATAATTTGTTATCCAAGATTCAGGAAGAAGCTTGGCTAACTTTTCTTTTGGGATCTGCCGAGGAACATGAATGCAAGAGGCCTGATCATTTTGCATGGAGATGAACAATGCATCTTCATTTCCAAGTTGGAAATTCAGATCTAGAGCATGATTTTGGACTCTATACACCATTTGGTAATGAAGAGTTGCAGCAATAGAATTGGCAGTTTGAGGAGCTCTAGTAAGCTGAAGTTGCACTTTCAAGAAAGAAAGTAGCTGGGGATCGGAAATGGCAATATTAAAATTTGGATAAAGGGTTACAAAGACTGTTCCAGCATTTAAAGTAGTTTGGACAGTACCAATACAAGCATGCTGGTATTCTAGGAACCTAGTATCCAAAAGAGCCATTCTTGCTACAACAGGTAAACCTTTTCTCCCATGAAAGGTAAGAGCAAGACGGACTGCGCCATAGTGAATATGTGAATACCCTTTTTGATCCACTGTTTGGGAAATTCAGGAGGAATTTGAAGAGTAACAAAGTACTCCTTTTCAGAGGTAGGAATAGGGTGCTGGTCAAATTTGGAAGACTGGACGTATTCCTTGACCTCTTTCGGGGTTTGACGGATGAGATGTTTTATTGACCTGATGGGGGAAAAAGATGTAGCGGGTTTAGCAAATGCTGAGTATGGATTCATGAGAGGAAGTTGTGTTTCAGAAATCTTGGTTTCATCACTAAGAGAGACTTCATAAAGATAGTCTATCTTAGAAGCATGTGAAGTACGAAACTCGATTAAAGATGAAGAAGAAGACGATGGAGTGAGAGAAGCAGTAAGAGCGATTGGAGTTGTATCTGGATCGGTCATGATGAAGAGAAAGGATTCTTCGCAGCACTGAACAATCACCAACTAAGCGCATGGAACGAACCAAGCTAGGCATAAAACCACGCTCTGATACCAATGATATTTGGATGGAGACTCTACCATTGATACTCTTGGAGAAGATAGTGGATACCAGTTTATGGTATCATACGGACCCCCATCACCTTCATCAACTTTATCACCTCCATCATTCTCATTATCTCCACCATCACCACCATCACCTCCAGCTTCACCCCCATATAAAAAATCTGTCGTTTCCCCTTTCTACAAACCCATCTATAAGTGGGTAAAGAAAAATTCTTATCCACTTAAAATTCCAGTCTTTCCTGAAAACCCAGCCATCGGGCAACTTCCATTTATCTCCATGTTCAATGAAGCTGATTTCCCTCCTCTAAATCCTGCTGAAAGTTCTCAGCTTTCTTTTCCTGCTACTGAAGAATTTACCGATCCACAACGACGATACCTTCATGCTCCAAAAATTCCTTCTCCCACTGATGTTGATGAACGTGGAAGGCCAAAAAGAACGCCCCTGAAATTTGTTCTAAACCGCGATCGGAAACTCTCCTGGCACAAAATCGAGGCTTTGAACACTTGACTCCAAAATTATTGATGTGCAACAAGACATCCGAAGGTACGACGAGTCCATCAAAAAATGCTTGTGGATTTCCAAAAAAGACTTCATGCTTTGGAATCAGGCCAGCATCTTGGCTACCATTATCTTGAAAGTCCGAAGAATGAAATAGAGAAACTCAGAAGGCAAATCAGTCTCCTTGAAGAAGGAAAATTTAAGCCTATTGATTTTTTCTCTATTCCGAGAATCGGATACTCTTTTCCACCACCGCAAAGCTCTCCGAGTTTTCTTTGCGGTGCTCTTGCGGCGAAACTTCTACTCAACGAGACGAAGTGATATGACCAATGCGCAATCGCATTCGGGAAATGGAGAAGCTCCGAAAGGAGAGAATGAAAGAAAAACCTGTTGCTGAGCCCTCTGGAGAACCTGAAAAGAGTTCTGATCAGCAGATGATGATCTCAAACCCCTTGGAATCTTTTCTGAGGGATTTAAGCAAAGATCAACAACAGAATCCAAAAGCTGATTCAGACCAGCATCTACCAGAGTGTACTTCTCAAAGGTATCAAATTTGCTAAAATCAGATTCAGAATCTGACTCCTTATCCTCTTCCTCTTCGTCTACTTTCCCAATTCCTTCCATTGAATCTTTCCAAGTACCACCAAATACTCCTCCGATTTTCATGGCTGACCCACCAGAACAAGAAATGGAACCAAATCCATCTGAACCAGAGGTTATCCAAATCAATAACCCATCTCATATTTCTGTTTCCCCATCCAAACAGTTTTTCACTCTTGATGACATTCCTTATTCCAAATGGCCAGAAAGATTGGATGAATTCCATGCTTGGTTGAACACCAGAGCTCTTACTGTTGAAAGCAAATATGATGTTCTTCTAGAATTTGCTACAAGGTTTACTGGAAGCCTTAAACACTGGTGGCAATCAACTTCTGAAACAGATCAGATGACTTTTCTTCTTCTGCAAGACTTTTCCCAAGCCATTGGAATCATTTACCTATATTTCATAGGAAAACCTGCTGATCTTCTTGAGCTCAAAAGACGAGAATATTTCGAAAGAAAATGTTGTTCTCTTCAAAAAAGGCACCTAGATCGCCATTACAGAGAGATGCTTAAACTCTTTTATGGCCTAGGAGCTGATCCAAATCTAAAACAAGTCTTCTTAGCCTCCATTCCTAAAGAACTCTCCCAACAGGTTGAGAGATCTTTTCTCAACAAGCAAAGAAGAATTGTTGATATTCCCTTTGGAGAACTGCAACAAGAAATTCATCTTTGTCTTGATGAACTTTGCCTCCGAAGACAGATGATGAAAAACTACATCAGAGACAATCGTGAACTCGATGGTGCTTGCTCCAAACAATATTTGAAGATCAAATGTTCAAAGAAAGATTGTGACGGATCCTATGGAGAATATTCAAAGAAAAACAAGCACTTCAAAAGGTATCGAGTGAAAAGATCCAAGCACTTCAGAAGAAGGAAGAAATGGCGATTCCTACGGAAACGAAGAAACTTTACTGGACGCAAGAAACCAAATCGTTGCTTCATTTGCAACAAGAAGGGCCACTTTGCCAAAAATTGCCCCCAGGCAAAAAAAGGTCAGAATCATCTCATTCATAATATCGAACTTGAGACGGGAATCTCTCTTGATAATGATGATATCGAATCCCTGTTCTCTGTCGATGAAAATCCCACTGACCAAACACTTTGCATCATTCCTTATTATCTCACCCCCAGTGAAACAGACTCTGACTCAGAACCTGAAGAACTTTTCCATCTATCATCCCAACCAGAAAATCTGGACCTCAGTATACATTCCAGTC